TCTAACAAAATATGTATCCAGATCAGCAGTCAGATTTCCAACAACCGCAGGAGCATAACCTAGGTTATCGCGGCTGTATAGAATATATACAACTGAACGCGTATTCAATGGTACAGTCGTTCTAGAAATCGGCTTGACTAGTACAAGCTCAGGGAGATCACCGGACCGCAACTTAATGAGGTGGGCCTGATAGGATCCGCGCTAAAGGCTTGGCGGTGGGGCCAAAGAAGATAGTCAAAGAGTGATGACGGCCAAGGGGGAAATTCTGCCTGTCAAAAGCCACCATTTGGGGGTTTTGCACTCGTGGCCACTAATAACCTCCGTAATAGGTACACGGTGTTTCCTAGTGGTAAGTTGCCACTCCATGTCTCGACAGAAACAGATCGTTAAGTGATTGCCACTAACTGGAAGGTGAGATGGCAATTAATAACAGCTAAATCATAAATACCTGGGTGCCTAGGTGATTAATATTAAAAGATTTAAAGGTTTGGTAACTCCAAATAGGCAACCTTGGAACCATTCGTATTTGATTAAGAATCGAAATAATAGATTGATCATAGTGAATGGCCAACGTCTCTGTGTATCGCTTAACCACTGCAGAGTAGGGCATCTTGAGGTGTCTATTCAATTTTGGATTTTCCCTTTAACACCTGCCTTACGTACTTGTGCCAGTGGACAAAATGTCAAATATACTAGTATCGTCAACCTTGGAATCATATGCACAGCCCCAGGCGCAGAATCTGTGACATCGGAACCACCCAGCACAACTTCCTTTGTACAGGAATCTGAATGCATTTCTTCAGGCAATGATGAAGATTTCATCGCATCGGACTCAGGATCATTGCAATATTACTCCGATGGTTCATCCGCAGATCATGTGTATACTGTGACGATTTAGCCATCAGTGCCTCGGATGGTTGACACGGCCACTAGTGAAGCAGACTAACCGAAATAGGAGAGGAAGAAGTTCACCTCCGAAACCCCTGAACAGATAGTTCCTTTCCTTTCTTTCTCTAGTCTTGATACTTTCGTTGAAATGCACAAGTTGATTTGATCTTCTTCCTGGCACGTAACATATACGCATGTCCTGATAAGTTGTGACGGAATTTTAGGACATACATAGTACCTAGGCTGTAGGCCCGGTGCCCTCAAAACCATCAAAATTAAGTTTTGAATCTCACAAGACTGTACAGCAAGTTGGGACAAAGAGAACGCTCAAGAAAAGCATTATGTCGCAATTTTAATAAGACCATTATCATAAGCACAGCCCCCAAAATTCAAGTTCCATTAGTTCACTAATGGGCCCCATAATCCACTACCTAGCTCGGATTAATATAGCCAGTGTAATGTATTATCGGTCGCAATGGGGATTCTGGATGCTTGCTGGCGCGATGTTCTGATCGCCATATTCTACAGATAGAACGTGCGATCAGTCCAACCAATCACTTGAACACAAGCTGCTGCGCTCTGTCCGAGACATTTAGGCAGCAATAATCCTGCGAGAGTCTGGTCGTCCAGAAGACTGCTTATCAGCTCCCGAATTTTTTTGGCCCCCCATACTGTTTCCTGGTATTATTTACCACCATACTACAGTCATATTTCATGAGTATTTGCACCAGAGTACATCAGAAGGCCCGGGACCCACTTATTTTCTGCCGATACAAAATTTCGTACACTACGCGCTGCTGCGCGCGCCGCGCGGCGTCAGGTTTATACTAGTAGGAATAGGCAGGCGGTGTAAAAGAGCGGTCAATAACGGAGGTACCGGGGTGCAAATACTCATGAAATGCCACTGTAGATAGTTAACTAGTATTCTAAGTTAGTTAGTTAATTGCGAAGCGTAGCGGGGCAATTACTAATCGGTTTCCCCCTCTAGGGCTCAATTTTCTATCACTAAACTAGATAATAGGTACTCTGTACTGAATATTACTGTACAGTAGTCTAAATTGTACTCTTCTTCAATGTTCCTTCTCCTAGTCCTTGGCAATTTCCTAGTATTGAAATGATATTCCTCTTCTAGGATTCGAATATTTAATACACCTGAGTATAAATTTCAATAACAAAAATCCATACTGAAATTATTTGATTAAATTTGAAAGGCTAGAATCCGCTAGATAGATCATTGAATTCCTCCAGGGCTCCTATCTTACCTGGAACAGGATTAATACGGGTTTCAATTCCCCGCCAGCCGTTTTTAAAATTGGGGAAATCAGTTTTGTCACTTGCCCAGGTGGTGGCCCCAATTGTCGCTCCCGCCCCGGGCCTATACATCCGTCCAGAAAACGCCACGACCTTGGATCTAGCGCTTGGCAAAGGCTTGAATGCAACATGGGGCCAGTTACAACCCTCCCGAGGTGGAAGTCCTCTGTACGCTGAGAGGTCTCAAAACTAAGTGAGCTCTTCTCGTCCGTTGCTCCGTTTCTTCGACAACAACAACAAAAATGACCGAAGAAACGACCATGTAAGCCTTCAGTCTCCATTCTGAGATCCGCACGACTGGACCGTTAGTAACACCAGCGTCTATTCTACTTAGAAACGAGCTCAGCCGCAATGGCAAACTTCGGTCGTGCGAGCCATGTCGCCGTTTGAAAGCGCGATGCGATCACCGGATCCCTGTCTGCGGCCGCTGCAGATCACGATGCATTGCTCACAAGTGCTCGTATCGCTCGACAAAGCCGTCAATTGCATTTCCAGCAGTGACTCCGTTGATGGACGTGGGTGGTCTCGGCCTGCTGACCCCGCCCTTGGGCGACAACATCCAGCACTATACATTTAGTTCGCCTCCCCCGATACCTCCCATACATCGAGCATCCGTTTCTCTCCCGACTCCTATCCCAGCCTCTATCGATATTCGGCTTCACGAAGTTCTCTCGCGCCTGAAGCATTTCAAGGCTATCGGCCGGCTGGTCCGTCGATGGCTGCAAGTCTGCCTGAACTGTCCTGTGCCCAGGCCCCTCCTTCTGGACTTGTTAGCTGCCGTTGAATCAGCAGCCCGGCGGTGCAGTCCAAGTGATGGCAATGTCCCAGTTGCCGACGCAGACTTTAGCCAGCTGGCAGAAGGAATCCAGAACGCGAGCTCACAGCCGCTGGTTATACCTCGCGGATTGCAGCCTACCGAGTTCAGTCAGGTGCTTACCGGGCGAAATTTGAGAGTTGAGTTGATTGGTCTTGTTCTGAGTGTCGCTGGAAACGCCGCTCTCGGCCTGCTCGAGTCGGATGTCGTCTTTTCCTCTACGAGCATGTATCAAGACGTCCTCGACCGCAAGGCCTTTGCTGGCGAGATGTTGAGTGCCAGTGACGCGGCGATTGCGTTTGCCAAGGAGCAATGTCATGATCTGTATGATGTACTCCTTTGGCTGCGGTATGAGAACTTTGTCCTAACGAGGAGTTGTTGCGGGTACGAAATTAAGGACACATCCATGCATCCATCAGCGGGATAATGCGAGATAAGATCAATACGGCTTACACCACTTTAGGCTACCGTACCTGGGCACGCTCCGGCAGATTGATTAACGACTTGTTTGCCATGGACATTCACCGAGACCCGGAAAGACCTCAATCCTCGGACACGCCGTGGTTCTTGCGCGAAATCCAAACTAGGCTGTTCGCATGCATGTATGAAGCCGATAAGTCATTATCCAGGGTCCTCGGAAAACTGCCCCGGCTACCCCGACAGTACTGCAACCGCAGACTGCCACTCAAGATAAGCGACGAGAACATCTTAACAGCCGGCTTCACGTTGGACGATGCAATCGTCAATATGCCACACCTGGGCAACTGCATTCGCCAGGAATCGTTCCCCTCCGATTGGCTTCGCATACGCTATTTGTTTGCGACGCTTAAAGAGGTGGTCCTCAGTGTGAAGCTGGGAGCAGCGGAGCAAAATAGCGAATCGTTCATCCGGTGAGATCCAGAACTGCTTGTTGTGGTATTTCTATGGACCTCCAGGGCTGACATTTAGATACCCAGCCGCACATCATCACGCATCCAGGCAGCATGGGAAGCACTTCCTACATATCTCTGCTACAACCCTGTCTGCACCCCAAATCAAACATCATCCACGCCCTACCAGTACCTTGCCCGCCTGCTGCTCTATCTTGAATACCTTGACCTGCAATTCAGTACACAGCAGGCACTTTGCCATACCTCTGGAAAAGACGTCGGAGGCGACACGAAACTACTAAAATTGGGCCTAACCTTGGTAGCCACAACAGCCAATGCAGCCCGCGTCTTCTGCAGGCGGTTTGGTGCATCGACGGACACAGCATTGATGGTAAGACCACTTGTCCCCTAACCTTGTACCAGCAGTCATCTCTCTTCTCAATTGGAAATTATTAACGCCGCGCAGCTCTGCTTCTACGGTCTTCCCAGTGCTCTCGTCCTTGCCGATGCTTTAGCCAACATTACAGAAGACGGACAGAACATGCCTACCGCCAACAGATCCGATAATCTGCCACTTTCGTGGCCTGAATTCCACCATCAGCTCAGCGTGCTATCCACCGACCTAGAAGCCCTTGTAGATTTCACAGACAGCAACTATGCGCTGTACAGTAAGCAGAAGGAGGCACTCTCAAGACAGCTTGACCGCGCCCTGCACGCAAGGCTCGAGGCGTCGCCTTCCAAGTCGCCGCAATCCGGGGGGACTCTGACCGCGCCATTGAACGATATCGACAAACTGATCGCTGAGATGGCAGAAGATGAAACTTTTGCCGATGGTCCAATCGGTGACCTGGAATCATCGAGTGCGGGCCCTTCAAGCTGGACACTAGACAATATTTTTGATGATTGTCTGTGGAATGTATCGGAGTAGATCTATACACATATATTAGGAGCATCAATTTGAACTTAAAAAATTGCACTTGAACAAAATCGAAGTTGCCAACCTATGTATGGAAGTGTTTTGCTTTTGTCCCTCTCTACAGTACTTTAGCCCCCTTTTAAATTGATACCGGATTACCGCTATGCATGTGATAACCAGTTGACTGCCATCCACTTCACAATCAGGCCCTCAAAACCACTGTAATTGGCAGCTCATCTTCCGGCGACCCTGGTGTACATTGCCTTTCATCGCGAGGCAACGCCGAAAGCACGAATATTGAACATATCGCCGCAAGAACATGCTGCATAAAGTAGTACGTCAAATGGTTCCCCAGACACATCCTTGGCCCACTCGCAAACGGCCACAAGACATCTTCTCTATCATGTTTCTTGCCACTTCTGCCCATTGACAACCATCTCTCGGGATCCCAATCATTTACATTTTCCCATTTTGTTGGATCGCGGTGCACGAACCACTGGAAGCTGTTGATCCGCGTGTTTGGTGGAATGTTGTCTATTCCCGCGACAGAGATGCTTCGATCTGGGGGCGTGATTCTGGGTAAGAGCGTGCTTGTTGGACGCATGCGGAGACATTCGTCGATAACGGCGCGGAGGTAGGGAAGGGAGTCTAGTCGGGAGGACCTATCTAGTCCACTAGGATCTTGATGGATAGGGCTTGTCATGTCGATTTTGTGTTCCTCGAGCTCTGCGTGGATCTTTTGCTGTGCATCAGGGTGGCTCGCTAGATACCAAAGTGCATAACCAAAGACGAGGCCTATCAAATGGTTAGCATATGCATCCCAGTACTGGCACAGGTACTGATTTTACCCAGAACCTCTCGTGATGCGGCTATAGGTTTCAGTCAGCATTGCTAATAGTAGTAGAAGCCAGGGGCCGTACAAACATGGTCGAACATCTCACTCTGGACCTGCATTTTCTGTGCTTCCAAGCTGAGATGCGGCGAATCCTTCTTCACTGCTTCTTTTGCAGTCTCAAAAACCACGGGCTCGTCTTTGGCTTCCAGATTCAGACCCTTACTGTGTTTCAAGGTGATCGTGTGGTCAGCCTTGTCGGCCATTGTAGATATCCAATTCTCCAGATACTCAGTCCCATCTGAGTATTTTCTCGGCAGCAGATTAGTCCCAAGCGCCTTGAACAGCTTGTACAGCCCTGGCATCTCCTGCACAAAGAATGCTTCGCGGCATGACATGTTCTCGTAGTGGAAGCGCCATAGCTCAAGAGGGTCATTGTTGAGCTCCGCCTTGCGATTGGAGAGAAATGACAGGAAATTCGTGCTGTTGCAAGAGCCAAACAAGAATGAGCTGAGATAATCCGCGCAAATACGGTAGCTCAAGTCCAGCCCGTCGATACGACCAGTGCCACAACTAACCAGGAGGCTTTCCAGTCTTGGAAAGAGTCTCTCGTAGATGATGCAGTCCGTTACCTCGCGTAGATGCTTGGACTGCATCAGCGCGGACTTGGAGTATAGCGCTGCTGTTCTCCTACGGCGGATACCGTGTTCGGATCTATCGAGACTTGTAAACGCGTTGCGTGTTCTAGGTAGATAAGATCCTATCAGCGTGAGTTCTGCCAGTCTTTTTAGAGACGTAACTACCTATAATAATTGAACATCGAATAGAATGGGGCCGGCTTGGGAAACCCGGTGTCGTAGACTTTGCGAATCCCATCTTGGTAGCTGCTCACGCTAAGATCTTGAGGACCCACGAGGACAATTGGACCGAGTCTGCTGTGGGCTTCGATGAGGAACTTGAGCTCAGTACCTGTCCATCTTGCCCATAGAATTCGGGCAGAACTGAAGCGAGAAGACCAGTGCGCCGCGGGTACCTTGCGTAAGGAGTAGAGCAGACGAAGGCTGAAGTAGCTATAATAGAGAAGTGCAAGAAGAACAAGCACAAGTAAGGTCATACTTGCGATACCATCTGAACGCTTACACGAGTTGGTGATAGGCGCCAAACGTGTAAGCCATTATTTACATCTATCTAGCCTGCAAATGTATCATGCCCGGGTGGCTTGGTGAGAGCACTAGATCGGTAATTGACGGTCCAGACGGAAGTAACTTCCGTTGTACTAAGGTAAACAAGCAACATGTCACGGCAGTAGACACTCCACACGACGGTTTGGGAGGTCCATACATGTTTCCAGCAAGTGGAGCCAAGGAGCTCTCGTTGCATCCACTAATGCAGGCGCCGGTGCTCAGATAGGCGTTCAACGCCGGGCCCGGGGGCCGTCGGAGCGTATCTGGGCTAAGCCTCCGCCTTGATGAATCCTGGCCAATAACCAGGCTAGGCTTCAAGTAATGTAGTACACTAGTGGAGTATGTGGGACACGAAAATCTGTGGGCACCTGGGCAGGGGGAAAGGGGTCGCAACTTGAGGTACGCCCGGGCGTGGGTGTTTTGCCGTCTGTCACAACAAAGGCCGTCTTTCGATTCTTCCACAAATCTTCCACCTCCCAGGTGCCCACAGCCATGAAGACAGTCGATCCATCTGTTGACCTGGCTTCAACCATGCCCGCCAATACAGAAAACAATGAGAAAGCCTTGCCTTTAGAAAAAGCAGAGACAGTACCTGAGCAGCAAGATCCCGAGCCTGAGCCCGACTTTAGCCTATGGCAGCAAGTCCCCGTTTTCATCGCAATGAGCTTGGGCATCTTCATTCTAGGACTCGTATGTTCCCTAAGGAGGTCACGAGATTTTGCTAACAATTTTGGGTGCGCGTTCAGGACAACACGATCGTTGGCACTGCCACCCCAACGATAAGCGATGAATTCAACTCTATTACTGACATCGGCTGGTATGGCTCGGCCTACCAATTAACAACCTGCTCAACGCAATTCATGTTCGGCAAACTGTACACAATGTTCCGTGTGAAATGGCTCCTGGTCATCTCGGTTCTAATTCTCGAACTCGGATCCATCGTCTCTGCTGCTGCGCCCAATTCGGCTGCTTTCATTGTTGGCCGTGCAATTGCTGGCTGTGGCGCTTCGGGGGTTCTCAATGGTGTTCTGATGTAAGTAGAAGAACTGTTCATACAATATAGTCAGCGGACTGATGTGATGATCTAGTGCTGGTTCGACTACATTGCCGTTGCGCTGGAGACCAATCTTCAATAGCACTGTCGGCGGGCTGGAGTGTATTGCCATGGTTGTAGCCCCTGTGATTGGCGGTGCTTTGACAACAGATGTTACTTGGAGGTGGTGGTAAGTACTACTCCATTCTTATCGCTATCTTCATGTCCTCTAGACTGAGCATACCCCTTGCTGATGCTCCTTGCTTGCTAGTTTTTGGCTGAACGTCCCGATCGGCGGGTTCACTCTAGCCATACTAATTTTCGTCTTCAAGCAGCCGCCGGATCAAAAGGGTAAGGATGAGTCGTCGATGTCAAAAATCAAGAAGCTCAACATCCCAAGCCTGCTCATATTTACCGGCAGCATCGTCTGTCTGCTGCTTGCCCTCCAGTGGGGCGGCACAACGTACCCCTGGAACAGTGGAAAAGTGGTCGCGCCTCTGGTTGTCGCAGGCGTTTCATTTGCCGCGTTCCTGGCGTATGAGAGCCTTCGCGAAGGCGAGGCTATGATTCCGCGCTCGGTAATTTTCAATCGAACGGCAGGCTTGTGTATGCTTTATGCGTTTTGTTCTTCTGCTGCATTTAACATTATTGACTATTACGTGAGTCCTCTGACACAAAATTCCTCGCATGTGCATCTAACAGGCCCACTAACTGCCATATCATACTCGTAGCTGCCGATCTGGTTCCAAGCAATCAAGGGCGCAACGGCCGTCAAATCAGGGGAAATGCTGCTCCCATCAATCATTGGCCTTTCAGTTGTAGCCATAAGCTCGGGCTTCGTCCTCTCCTTCATCGGGTACTACACACCGCTGATGTTACTGGGCTCCACCATGATGGCAATAGGCTTCGGCTTCCTAACAACATTCAAGCCCTCGACCACCCATGCCGCCTGGATCGGGTGGCAAGTGATGCTGGGCATGGGCACTGGATTGGCATTCCCACAGCCGTGGTCAGCGATCCAGACAGCGCTCCCAGAAAAAGATGTGCCCCTCGGACTGGCAGGCGTAGGATTTGGAATCAGCTTTGCCGCGGCAGTGTCGATCTCGATATGCGAGAATGTGTTTACGAATTTGCTCCGCAGCGGCTTGCAGGCGGCTGCTCTTCCCGGTGTTAATGCTGAGGATGTGATCCAAGAGGGTGCGACGGGCTTCTTGCAGCATATCGCGGTGAATGAGAGGGAATCGGTGTTGAAGATATATAACCAGGCCGTGACAAGCTGCTTTTGGCTACCCGTTGCGGCCTGCTGCGTAGGGTTTGTTGCAGCATTGGGGATGAACTGGAATTCGGTCAAGGAGAAGGAAAAGGAGGGCGATGAGGAGAAGAAGGGAAGTGGGAGTGAGAGTGAGCCGGTCTCGGAGGCGCACACGTAGGATTTTCAGGAATGTTGAGAATGCTTTCGGGACGCATCAGGTTATCATGTCACCCTAAACCACATGCACATGTGTGCATCACTCTAATTCTAATGTAAGGGTCCGCATACTTGGCCGTCACGCCCAAGTTAGAATTTATAATAATAGCTAAGACTGAAGTAGTCAACTGCATGTGTTCCTCGAGGCTATCCAAAAATCAGCTGCAAGGTGGGAGAGAAAAGTCATGAAGAAATGAAAGAAGATGATATAGATTCTTCTAACTGAATGAATCAGGGTGATCCAAATAAAAATAAATGACGTCTAGATGGATGTAGCGGGAGACTAGTCAGACCTCCAGGGCTCGGGAACTTCGGTTGAACTGCAGTCCATATTGCAATGCAAACATTTGAACACTGACCTGAGCAGTTGAGCTGAGCTGTCGAGCTGCAAGGCTGACCACGATTGCACGTGTCATCATAACCTAACATTGAACACGTCTGAATTTTTGAATCCAGTAACATCAAGTGCTAATCTCAATCGTAAAGAATGAACGTCGGACAACACATGGACTATACATTTGACAGCGATTTTATATGATTTTCCGCCATCAATCACCAACCTCCAACCTTGGAACTACTCAAGTGCTGCACATCAACCTTCCTGAATCCTACCAGCTCAAACCGTGCCTCGCAGAAAAGCCATCACGTCTTCCTCCCAAAATGGGCGCATCTTGTAAAGCCCCAACTTCTCTGGCATCGAATCGATCGCGTCTGCCAGCTCGATGCCGTTGCCCTCGCGCACGACGTCACGCAGACTGGTCATATACAGTCGGACACAAAAAACAATAGCCCCGGTCTCCGGGAGCACTTTGAGCGTTTGTCGCTCGTAGCGCAGCCAGGACTGGTCGATGTCGATCCTTTTAGCTTCGTCGGGAAGGGTATGGCCTTTCTCAGGGTAGAAGTTATTGCCGTCCAGACGCCAGAGGTCCTTGCCGTCGCACTGAAGACTCCACTACACACACAACCCTTGTTAGAGATACTGGTAAAAGGGATGAAAGTGATAGGCAGTACTCACGTTAAAACGCTGCACCAATTGCCCGTCCACCTTCATTCGGCGCACAAATTTATCGACTCCATTGGCAATGCGCTCTTCATAATGCGGCACGGGCAGGTGAATGTCCCGGAACGACATGCCCACTCGAGATGGCCCGTCAAACCCGCCGGGGAAGCACGAGATGTATCCTTGCAATCGCCAGTCGCCTTGTCCATCGGGACACATGAGATAAAAGTCCTCCTCGACGTTACGGCAGAGCGTGCGCAGCGCCAGGTGGGGATCTTTACTGGCGCGCTCCACGTCGAAAGTCTGTTGCGTGATAAGGTTCGTGAGGATGTCGCCGTCCAGCCGGAACATGGAGGGAAAGTGCTTGGGGACATGGTCGATCATGACCTCCTTGAAGAGCTCGAGGATCGCCGGAGCGCTGATTTCGTTCACACCGATTGTCCACTGCGGGTTTTCTTCCATTACAGGGACGCGCTCGTTAAGTCGATCAAGATATCCCCAATCCATCTGGATCCAGTCCGACTGAGGGACCTTTTCGATGCCTATATCGAGTCAGCGCAAGCACCGGTTGAAAGATAGTTTGATATCTTACCCATAGCAACATGCGTGCGAGTCTTAAAAGGTCGGTACGCTCGGGGTGGCTCTTTGCGAAAGTCGAAAGGCGGAGCGACTACACTTGTCGCGACAGTGGGCTCAGGCTTTAAGTTCAAGCTGCCAGCTTCGGCTTTCTCGTTGGCCTCAACTGGCTTCAGTGACTCACGTCCATTGTTTGGCGACCGAAGGTTTTTGAACAAGACTGTAACTATGAAGGTTACGCCAACGAAGATGGCCGCAAGCCATGGGGGTATAGTAGTGATCATTGTGGACGTTGAAGACAAAAAGTGAGCTTCGGCACTTGTTGCCGACCTTGAAGTATCTTCATGAGTGCAGCGGTCCAGATACTGATATCTCCTAATCCGAGTAACGTGCTGGGAGAATAATCCGACACCTGCATGAACCGCCGGTGGACACCCGCTTGAGCCCGTCGAGCTCCGGGTGCCCCCACTAAGCTCCGGTAATAGTAGTAAATAGTAGTAAGACGAAGTAAGTACTGTCTGAGTCTGTCTCTCAAATTACCCACAAGCTGTCAACAGTAGAGGGGTAGCAACAAGATGCCTTCAAACAGAAATCTTGTATCCGAGCCAGTTGGCGGAGGCGTCCTCAGCAAATTCTATCAATGGGTGACGCAAGATCCCACCAAATGCGCAATTGTCTATGAAGATGAACAACTTACCTACTCAGAATTGGATCACCGCTCGCGCCAGCTCGCATCGAATTTAACACAGCATGGGGTCGGCCTGGAGGATATCGTGGCATTTTGTTTTCCTAAATCTGTCCACGCTGTCATTGCCATCCTCGCGATCCTTCGCTGTGGCGCTGCGTTCACGGCGCTTCCTCCCGATGCACCGAAGGTTCGGAAAAATGACATTTTGAGTGTCTGTAAACCAAAGGCTGTTCTTTGTGGAGAAGAGCAGAAAGGGATATTGGAAGGTTTAAATGTTCCAATTCTCCCCGTTGGAAACCAGACGTATCGCCAACACGTGCCGGCCGTAGAGTTCCCAATTATCAGCAACAACAACGCTGCGTGTGTTTTGTTTACATCCGGATCAACAGGCAGTACGTCGCTTTTGCCCCCAACTCCATCAACACTAATACTAAGACCCTCCCCAGAACCAAAAAGCGTTGTTTACGAGCACGGCAACATCCTCTTTGCATCAGAAACATGGGGAGCGCATGTCGGCATCGGACCTACTTCGCGCATCCTACAATGGTGCTCATTCACTTTCGGTATAGCCATATATCTCCATATCTTCGTTGAGCAGACATTACTAACATGTCCATGTCTTAGACGTGAGCATCGTCGAGACTGTTGTCGCGCTCATGCTTGGCGCCTGCATCTGCATGCCAACTGATGAACAACGCACGCAGGACACAGAGGCTTTCGTCAACCGAGTCAATGCTGACTGGGCCTTCTTCACTCCCTCTGTGGCGCGTACCCTAGACCCTACACGCATGCCCGGACTCAAAACAGTCTTGCTCGGCGGGGAAGCGACGAGCAAAGAGATCGCCGCTCGCTGGGCGCCCAATCGTCGTCTTGTCAACTGTTACGGGCCATGTGAGTGTACAGTATATTTCTCGTTTGCAGAGCTGCATGATGAGAGCGCAGATATTCGCAACGTCGGCATCCCCACTTTCAATGGTTACATAGTCAGTCCAGACGATGTAAACATTCTGATAGAAGACGAAGTTGGGACGGGAGCACTCGCTGTAGGCGAGCTTCTCATTCAGGGGCCTAGTGTTGTTCGTGGGTATCTGAATGACAACAGGTCGGGGGCATTCGTTGACCCACCTACCTGGTATGACGGCCCTTTGGGACCGGAAGCGCGATTTTACCTCACTGGGGATGTCGCCGAGCGCTGTAAAGACGGCTCAATCCGTATTCTGGGCCGCAAGGACCGCCAGGTCAAGATTCGCGGGCAAAAGGTCGACCTGGACGAGATTCGCCATCATTTCCTGTCCTCAATTCCAGAATTACACGACTTTGTCGCCCTTTTCGAGGGGTTCTCCACAACACAACAACACCGGCGGCATGAGCTGGTCGCGTTTGTCGTTCCTCGTTCCAGTCAACGCCAAGTCGCAGCGAAGATAACGCCAATGACTGATGAGCTTCTCGCGTCTCTGACCCATACCTCCGAAGCCCTGCAGGAGGTTGTTGCTCGATACATGCTTCCTACTCTCTTCATACCATTGACGGCTATCCCATTGACCGCGCATTCAAAGCTTGACCTTCCTACCTTACGCGCGCTCCTGGCCTCTCTGAGCCCAGCTCAGGAAAGGAGGTTCGCTCTTCACGAGCGTGAGTTTGAGCCTCTTGTCACCGAAGACGAATTGATACTGGGTGAAATCTTGGCCGTTCAATTGGCTCTGCCAGTATCTGATATCAACAGGAACATGGGGTTCGTCCAACTTGGTGGTGACTCGATCAAGGCCATGAGCGTGGCGAAGGAATTAGGTCACAAGGGCAAGTACCTCCCAGTCCAGACGGCGTTATTATCATCCACAATCAAAGAAATGGCAGAGGCAATCATACCAGCCGTGGCTTCCTCGTCACTCAAAGTCCCTACTCCTTTCTCCCTTCTAAGCGCTGGAAACACCGAAATCGTTCGCCAAGAAGCTGCGAAGGCCTGTGGAGTACCTGAAGAAGCAGTGCACGATGTATTTCCGTGCACATCTCTGCAGGAGGGGTTTCTTGCGGTCTCCTCTCGAGACAACAGTGCGAATGTGGCGAGATATGTCTTCAAAATGGGAGAGGGAGCTGATGCGCACGCATTGTCTGCGGCGTGGCTCGCAACTGTCTCAACTATCGAAACTCTACGAACAAGGTTTTTCCCGAGTCCCACCGAGGGTCTTGTGCAAGTTGTGGTTGACGACGGGGATTGGAGCTTATCTTCCCTTGAGAAACTGCCAGACTTGCTAAAGTCCCACAACAGCAGCCCCTTCGGTCTAGGAAGCCCCATGGTCCGAGCTGGCCTTGTCAGAAAGCCAAGGCTCTTTGTTCTGTCGATACACCACGCAATCTTCGATCTTTTCACTTTGCGTCTCATCTTGCACACATTGAAAGCGGCGTATACCCAACAGGCACTCCCCCCAGTACTTCCATTCACAATAGCCCTGGACGAGCGGCGAGGCGCCACCTCTGCGGCAGCTAGCGAGGCCTTTTGGAAGTCCACCTTGCAGCACAGTTCGGTGTCGAACTGGCCAGTTCCAGCACTCACAAACTCGTCACCAGCCAAAAGTGAGTGGGCACATTGCTCTCGAAAGCTCAAAATTCCCTCAAAAAACACGGAAGGAAAAGCAAATACCACTGTCGCGACATATCTTCAAGCAGCATGGGCTCTGCTCCTCGGTGCATACCAAGGGAGCGATGACGTCGTGTACGCAATGGCTGTCTCTGGCCGAGAGTCAAACCGCTGCGATCCGCTTCAAATTGCAGGACCCATGCTTGCCACCTGCCCCTTACGATTGCATACAAGTGAGGCGGGCACAGTGGGTGGTCTGCTCGCATATGTACGGAAGACTGTTCTTGAGACCACCCGCCACGCGCACTTGGGTATACAGCGAATTGCTCGTCTTGGTGAAGATGAGAGGCGCGCTTGTACGTTAAGGACGATGCTTGTGGTGCAGCCTGATCTTACTAGCACAGCGATGCTCGAGGATATCGGCTTGCATCTTGATACTGAGTTGACACAAGAAGAAGCTCTGGGATCATACGCATGCTGGGTGGAATGCATACCAAGTGGAGATCACTTGACGCTGAAGATGGAATACATGTCTGAGTCTGTCGGCGTGGACGGGTCCAGTATCCTTCAGTGCCTGGAACACCTTTTCTGTATTCTTGTACAGGCTGTCCCTGATGACACCGTATCAAAACTTCCGCTCTTCCCCTCGCAGGGTCTGGTAGTGGCTCACCCGCGCCATGAGGCCGCTGTGACTGAAGTTTGCCAGCAGACTGTCCATGAATATATCTTCAACTTGAATGTAAATCAGAAACATCTAGACAGGCAAGCTGTTGTTGGTTGTGACGGCGAGATCACGTACCGAGAGCTTGATCAGCTTTCAGAGCGATTGGCTCTCAGACTACGAAATCTTGGGCTTGCTATCGGAGACGTGGTACCGTTCCACACACATAAGTCGATCTGGACGGTGGTCGGCTTACTCGCGGTCCTGCGCGCAGGCGGAACCATTATGTTCCTCGACATTAACAATCCGACCTCGCGGAACAAAGAGCTTCTGAGCCAGCTTCATCCCTATCCTACACTGATGCTCTGCTCTCCAGGAACGGAGCAGTTTTGGTCTGCCGACGTGAAGTGCACTGTTGAGCTCGGAGCAGACCTCAAGTCGGACACCAATTACTCACTCGCCGCCTCACTACCGCAGGTACCCCCAGAAACAGTCGCCTACCTCTTTTTTACCAGTGGGACGAGTGGAACTCCGAAGGGCATCGAAGTTGAGCATAGAGCGTATCTCACAGCTGCACTGGCTCGGTTGGACACATTCGAGCGCAAGCCTCGATCCCGCGTTCTTCAAGTGACCCCGTTCTCCTTTGACGTCTCCATTGACGATATGTGGACAACGCTACTAGCAGGCGGGGCAATCATTATGCCATCCGAGGCAGAGCGCCTGGATGATCTCGCAGGTTCGATAGCCCGGTATGCCGCCACGGACGTCAGTCTAACTCCAACTGTGGCCACCCTGCTACGTCCTGACCAAGTGCCAAGTCTGGAAGCGTTGGTGCTTGCCGGCGAAAGCCCCAGTGAAGCGCTCTACGACACATGGCTTGCCACCTCTGTTCGTTTGTACAACGCCTATGGTCCGACCGAATGCAGCATTTTGGCGACAGCTACCCGGGCTGTTCCTGGCGATCCACGTAACATCGGCCATGTCCTTTGCGGCCGCGCGTGGGTAACGCATCCTGAAAACCCGCACGTTCGTATGCCGCTGGGCGCAGTGGGAGAGTTGCTGATCGAGGGCCCATCGCTCGCACGGGGCTACTACCGCAACGAGGCAGCGACATTACAAAGCTTTGTCGTGAACTTGCAGTGGTCAAGTCCAGAGCGACGATTTTATAGAACAGGTGATCTGGTCCGCGCAAACTTAGATGGCTCCTTCACGTATCTGCGCCGCCGGGACCAGCAGGTAAAGCTAAGAGGCGTGAGAATCGAAGTGGGCGAGATCGAAGCAAAACTGCTCTCGGCTGGGGTCGGTGTTATCCATGAAGCATGTGTCGACATTGTCAAATCACAAGGGAAAGAGGCCTTGGCGGCACTATGCACTGTGCACGGCGATTCAGCTCAATGGCAAACCCAATGGCAAGTCCTTATCGCGCCTGTCGTTCAGGCACTCCGTGCCCGCCTACCCCGATACATGATGCCGACACTCTTCATCCCTTTGCCTTCACTCCCAACAACGGTCACTGGAAAACTCGATCGAAAGAAGCTACGCAGTATTGTGTCCAATATCTCAGCCGATGAGCTCCAAACCTACACCGCTTCACATCTGACCCGCCACGCGAGTTCGCAAGATCAAAAGAGCGACCCAGACTGGGCATTAGCAACCCCTGAACTCACCCTTGCAAAGGATCTTTGGATTGAAGCCCTGGACCTTGGCACCGACGGAAAAATGCAAATAAGTCCTTTGTCTAACTTCTTCGACTATGGTGGAGATTCCGTCGTCGCCATGCGCCTCGTTGCCCTCTGTAGGAGCCGCTGTCAGCGACAAATTGGCGTAGCCGACATTTACGACCGACCGACATTGATGGACCTGGCATTTGCGCTGAGAGAACCGACTGAAAGTTTCTCGAAAATACCGACCAGTCCTGCCACTGCTCCTTTCTCCATGCTCGGCCCATGGCGGCAGCACAGTGCCGTTCTCAATGCTATTCATAAACAACTTGTAGATGTCGAGATCGAGGATGTTTACCCATGCACAGCATTCCAGGAGGGTGTCATGGCTATATCTGCGCAGCAGCAGGGATCATATGTCGCGAAGTATCAGTTTTCACTTTCCTCACCTGATCCAGAAGCAGCACGCCTGCGGAACGCACTGAGGCAAGTTGTGGCCGCGAATCCAATCCTGCGAACGCGCATCATCTACGTCGATGGGTTCGGCTACTTCCAAGCTGTATTAGCCGTGAGTGATCTGATGGATCCTTTAACGGAGGCTCACGATGTGATTGTTCGCCCCTGGGAGCAAGGATCGCCGCTGGTGCAATTCTCTTTAGCTGCCACCGGATCACAGCCGGAGCTGTGGTCATACGCCAGCCACGCAGTCTTCGATGCTATCACTTGGGACCTGTTCTTGGCGCAGCTAAACGCAGCTTATATTTCCGGGCTACAGCCAAACACTATCGCCCCGTACGCTGCCTTCGTTCAGGCACGAGCGCGGACAGGCCAGGAAGATGATGCTGAATTCCATGACTTTTGGCTCCAGACACTGGGGGATGCTGAGCACACCACAGTATTCCCTGATTCCCGCCAGGAGCGTGTGGAGACTACGCAGTTCTTCGAGGTTGACATGGACGTTGATGTTGGGGACGCGACCAAAGGCATTACGGATGCCACACAGCTCCACACTGCGTGGGCTCTGACGCTCTCGGTGTTCTCGGCATCTGAGGACGTCGTCTTTGGGTCGGTTATGTCCGAGAGATCCCTAGGGATACAGGACGGCGACAGAATCATGGGTCCCTGTGTTGCAACAGTGCCTGTTCGCTCCCGTCTCGACCAAGCCCGCGGACGTGATCTACATACTTGGCTGTCTGGCGAGCAGCGGAACGTGATGCAGGTCCTATCTCGTGCACAAATTGGGCCAGCACAGATTGAACGTCTTGACTCAAGGGCCATTCAGTTCGATACTATGATTCAGATCATCAGCCCTTCCTCCGAACAGCACGATGACGATTTGATCAAATTGGTTGCCAGTGGCCCTGCGTACGAGAATTCAGGTGGCTACTTCACCACCCCCTTGGTGCTGGAGATGAAGCCCCGCAAAGGCAGGCTTTCCATTGAAGCGATTTTCAATGCCACTGTTGCACCTCCAGATCTGGTCAGCAATATGATCCATACGCTTTTCAACATAATCAAGCAGCTCCGCTCTGCAGGCACTTGCACGACGCTTGCCGACATGAAGATCTACAGTCCCGCCCACCGAGACCAAATCGCGACCTGGAACTCTTTCGCTCCACAACAGGCGCAGTCAACAGCACCGCAGCTCATCTCACACTGGGCACAGTCATCTCCAAATAAGGTCGCCATTGAGGCTTGGGATGGTATCCTGACTTTCAGCGAGATTGAGGAATATGCTTCCACTCTGGCACTCTACATCCAGTCCAACTTCGCCTTGTCACCTGCGGAAGAGACGATCGCGATCTGTTTCTCACGATCCCGATGGGTGCCTGTCGTTATGCTGGCGGTGCAGCGGTTGAGGCGAGCATATTTAGCTCTCGAACCAAGTCATCCAACGCAGCGCCTCTTACAGCTGGTGCAACAATCCGGAGCAAAGCTCATCTTGGCCGACGCCAAGCAGACTGATCGGTTCGCTGGCCTCAGCCAGGTTCTCACTTTCGACCAAAAACTTCAAGATCGTCTTCTGGCAGTCCATGAGGATACACAAGCAGTCGAAATCGTCACTGTTGAGCCATCGGATCCCGCTGTCGTGGTCTATACCTCCGGCAGCACCGGTCTTCCGAAAGCAATTCTCCTCCAGCAGAGCGCTTTATGCAGTGCGATCGCATCCTACGGTTCCCGAATGGACTTTGGACCGACCAATCGCACTCTACAGAACGCTGCCTTTGCATTTGATATTCACGCCTGTGAGATCTTCCTTACCCTTGCTCACGGAGGCTGCCTGGTCATCGCCGACGCAGCCAACGGTCTCGCGCACTTGAGCTCTACAATCCGAAAGCACGAAATCAATTGGCTTTTCATGACCCCGTCGACAATGCACCTTCTTCCTCATCCGGATGAGATCCCGTCAGTCAAGACACTTATGATGATAGGAGAGGCACCCACACGGAGTATCGTCGAGAATTGGGCAGACCCCACTAAAGTACATCTGATCAATGCGTATGGACCTGCAGAGAACACTCTGTTCTCGACGATGTATTCTTTCCGTGCGAAGCATGAAGACCCGACAACGATCGGATTGCCTGTTGGCTGTACAGCCTGGGTTGTCAGTCCGCATGATATCGATGTCCTATTACCTGTGGGTTGTACGGGCGAGCTTTTGTTGAAAGGTCCGCAGATGGCGCGCGAATATCTTTCGCAGCCAGATGAGACAGCAAGGAGGTTTGTGAAAGCACCGCGATGGATAACCGACTTTGACGTGGACGGTGGCAATGACTCTCGATTCTACAAGACTGGAGATCTGGTTCGTTACGAGGCAGACGGGATGCTGCACTTCATTGGGCGTATCGACTCTCAAGCCAAACTCAACGGGCAGCGCCTCGAGCTCGCTGAGGTCGAGCATTACGTCTCTTCACTTCTCCACGGGGTGCGCGTTGCTGCTGAGATCATCGAACCGCAATGTGGAACTCCAACGTTGGCTGCTTTTATCGAGGATCCTGACGCAAGTGTGATTTTGTCCAAAGAGGATCTCACGTCCGAATTGCACGCCTCTCTGCCCTCGTTCATGGTCCCCTCATTGTTTGTCCGCGTACATGAGTTGCCACAAACCTTCAGTAAAAAGCTAGACCGCAAGGTACTCAAGGCAATGGCCGCTAGCCAGACTTTCCAGGAGCTCAACACGTTGACGGCTGCTTCTGCAACTGCGCATCGTGCATCTATCACTACCGATGTGAAAAACCCACCGAGGACCCCTGCCGAACGCTTACTACAAACGCTCTGGAAGAAAGTTCTCGCGTTGCCGGCGTCAGATATCGGAGTCGACGAAAGTTTCTTCGAGTTGGGCGGGAACTCGATACATGCTATACGACTTGCCACTCTCATCTCCGCTGAAGGTAGCCAGTCCATCCGGATTCCCACTTCTTCCATCTTCCAAACTCCACGTCTGAAGGACATGGCGGTGCTTTTAGAGTCAGATGGACTCCAGGATAGTACCAACAGCCCAACTGTTGCTGTTGCTACCATCAATCCAGAGATCCTCGACTACTGTGCCAAGTCCCTGGCCATCCCACCAGCGTCCGTTCAGGATATATACTCCTGCACACCACTACAAGAGCGTATGCTCGTCGCATCTGCCATGTCACCAAATGCGTATATGGCCGAGCTCGAATGGGCTGTACCTCTGGACATCAATGTCAAGAGATTCAAGGATGCTTGGCGCAAGACGATCAACGCTTTCGATATCTTGCGAACTGAGTTCGTCTCGACTCCAGCTAACGGTACACTGCAAGTGGTAGCGAAACCCGGTGCTACATCAGCTGGTTCTAGTATTTTTGAAGATGCAAAATCTCACAGTGAGCAGAGGTTGTCTTCGCTAAAACTTGTTCCACTCGATGACCGAGTGGGAGGAAGACTGAAGCTAGTCTGGCGCGTCCACCACGCGCTCTTTGACGAATGGACGCTACTTATGGTTCAGCAAACGGTTTCAGGCTTCTACAACGCCAGCGAAGTTCCTTCCCCTGTGTAATTCAAGCACTTTATCGAGTACCTCGAAAATGCCGACCGTGACACCTCCAGGGGTGCTCATAGCACATACTGGACAGATTATCTCCGAGACGTCGCTGTGACGCCGTTTCCCAACCCAGACGCCAAATCTTTGGATTCCCCCGGAAAGCCACATCACAGACTTAAGTTATCAACTTCGCTGCACCCCGCGCATTCCATGACGGCTGGCACCATCGCTCGAGCGGCATGGGCGCTTGTTCTGTCTCAATACACTAATTCCGACACGGTGCTGTTCGGCGCAACACTTAGCGGAAGAAATGCGGGTCTGAATGGCATTGAAAGTGTTTGTGGGCCTACCCTCGCCACTGTCCCCGTGAGAGTGAGGATCCCCAAAGGTCAGAATGTACCGATCCTGGCATTCCTGCAGACGCTACAAGACGAAGCCGTACAGATGATGCCCCATGAACATCACGTTCCCGACGCGGAAGATGTTCGTAGATTCTGCGATTTCCAAAATGTATTGTCCGTTGTACAATTGCCTTCGAGTGAAGATTTGGATCCTCTTTTCCAACCCATTGACGATGATTCCACGACCTCTACATACCATACCATTCCGCTGTGCATTGAGTACAGCCTGGACGGGGAGAATAGCATGCTACAGACTATCTTTGACTCAAACGCTATTTCAACTGTCCAGATGATGCGCATTTTGAACCAGATCGACCATGTTGCGCAGCAACTCCAACGGCTGGGTCTGGAGGCAACTGTGGACAACATTGAGTACCTGTCTACCTCTGATAAACAGGAGCTCGAGACCTGGAATCAGATACGTCCGGAGCCTGTCCGCGAGTTCATTGATCATATCATGGCTCAGGAGGTCGCGCGCAGGCCTGACGCACAAGCTGTTTGCGCCCATGATGGAGACTTGACCTACGCACGTTTTGACGAGCTGGCACAAAGACTCGCTGATATTTTGCAAAATGAGCATGGTACTGGTCCTGGCGATGTTGTTCCTCTATGCTTTGAGAAATCCCTCTGGGCCATGGTCGCCATGTTCGGTGTGCTCAAGACTGGCGCTGCATTTGTCCCTACAGATCCAGCACAGCCTGCCGGGCGACTTCAAGAGATCGTCTCCCAGATCCAGCCACATGTTATGCTTGTATCTGACAAGACATCCCATTACGATTTTGCGACCAGCGCGACACTCATAGTGCTGAATGAGCATGCTCTCAACCGTCCCACCCAGTACCAGACTACCAACCGAGCTCTGCCTCAACGCGACCCCTCTGACTTGGCCTATATTATCTTCACATCTGGATCGACGGGCAAACCCAAGGGTGTCATGATTACACACGAGTCATACCGCACGGGCGCGAAACCACGAAGAACAAGACTTGCTCGACACGAAAATATCCGCATCATCCAGTTCTCAACATTCAGCTTTGACACATCCATCGAGGACACGCTCACAACGTGGACTTACGGAGGCTGTGTGTGTGTACCATCTGAATGGGAGCGATTGAACGACCTTGAAGGAGCAATGAATCGCATGCGTGTGACGGGTGCGCACATTACGCCGAGTCTCGCGGACGCTTTGAACCCAGCCAATGTCCCTACCCTACGTCACATCCATTTTGGAGGCGAGAAAATGACACCTAGGGCGTTGCGACGATGGGCAAGCCTCGATGGGCCCGTTGACATACGGAATGTCTATGGACCTACGGAATCTTCGATCTCGACTTCTTGCACAGTCAGGCTAGGCCCAGACTCCAATCCAATTAACATTGGATTTCCGATCGGGTGTAATCTTTGGATCACCGACGCGAAGAACCATGATCGCCTGATGCCAATTGGATGTGTCGGAGAGTTGCTGATTGAAGGCCATCTGCTGGCCAAGGGCTATTTGAACAACCCAGAGAAGACGGCCGAAGTTTTCATCACCAATCCTGCGTGGGCAGAATCACCAAACTCGTCCATCACTCGCCGCTTCTACAAGACCGGCGATCTTGCCTGTTATGCCGATGATGGGTCGATTGTCTGTTTGGGCCGTAAGGATTCCCAAGTCAATTTGAATGGTTATCGTATCGAGACCGGTGAGGTCGAAGTCAACCTACGCAATTTGCTCGATGATAGGGTCCATGATCTCGCAGTGGAGGTGGTGATTCCCAAGAAAACCAATCCCACAGCTACGCCTCTGCTTGTTGCTTTCCTGTCGATGGCCGTCTCATATTCCGGTCTGCAGGATACGAGTAGCAAAATTGAAGACACTCCCCTAGCCAAGGGCAACCTTGCTCGAGTTCTCCGCGAGGCTCGACTGCCAGATAGCTTGCGCGCAGTTCTCCCCTCCTATATGGTCCCCACAGCCTTCGTCCCAATCACCTGTATGCCGCAGTCCATTGCGCGCAAGACTGACCGAGGTGCCCTGCAGCAGCTCGCGGCACATCTCTCCGCTCAGGAGCTTCGCTCGTTTGTGGAAGCATCCGTTGATGAGGAGGACGAAGAAGATTACATGGAGTCTTCCCCTCCTCCGTCTTCCCCTCCTCCGTCTTCGCCGCCTCTGACTTCCACTACTGCTCTACCTACCCCTCCAAGCACTACAGCCGATCCCATTCTCTTGCTCCAAGAACTCTTCGCGACCGTTGTGGGCCTCGACCGAGAGTATGTGAATATGGATCACAGCTTTATCCGTTTAGGCGGCGACTCCATCCACGCTTTGCGTTTCGTAGCTGCGGCGCGGAGTAATGGGTTTTCTGCTATGACTGTGGTGGAGGCTTTGCAGGCAAATGCGCTACAGGATCTGGCATCACTTTATGATTCAGACTCCCCTGAGTTGGTCTCAAGCCCAGCGCCAGCTCCAGGGGAAAGCGAGACTGTTTTGCATTCAATTTCTGGGTTAGACATTCCGTCGTCGGAAATTGAGGCAAGCCAGCCCGCAACAAGCTTCCAGCTCCTCGCATTTGAAGTCTCTCTCCTTCCCCTTCGAGGCTACATGAACACCTTCTCTTTCACTTTCAACGGCCCTGTCCATCTTCACCGTTTGGAGCATGCTCTTGAACGTCTCATTGCACGACATGGCATTCTGCGCACTGTCTTTGTCGAGTCTCAAGATCCGAAAGTTGGACTCTTGCAGGTTGTCCTACGCCATCGTCTGTCAGATGAACCGCGACTTGCCATGGTTGAATCAGACGCCGATTTTACTTCGATCATGCCGGCTACCGGATACGGCAAGCCTCTAGTCCGATTCGCACTTCAACAGGGGCCCCCGACAAAGCTTATACTATGCATATCGCACGGCCTGTACGACGGTGTCGGCATAGATACACTCTGTCACGATCTCTCTGTTGCGTACCAGGGCGCTCCGTTTGAATGCGACCCAGCGCCCCAATTCCACTCGTTCGTGGCTTCAATGCCACCTAGAAACGACTCGAGAGAATTCTGGAAGCGCCTGCTTCACGGTTCCAGAATGACGGAAATCACAGGATGGACCACAAAGAAAGGCATCGAAGATAGTGAGATCAAAGTTCGAATGCGCTGTCTTCCACCTTCGTCTTCCGGTAGCGCAAAGTCAAGATCACACCAATACACATTTGCTACTTACCTGAAGGCTGCGTGGGCTCTAGTCCTCGCCAACAACAGCAGCGCCAGTGCCGCCCGTGGTAAATTCGATGTCGTCTTCGGACACGGCATCACAACTCGCAGCATTGCACCATCAGAATCCACTGATCACGTTGTTGGTCCTTGCCTGGACATCGTTCCAGTGCGGGTAATCGCGCCTTCAGCAACACCAGATGCATCATCAGCTGGAGACCTCCTTCACTCTATCCACAGCCAGCACCTGTCCGGCCTTCCACATCACGTCTACGGGCTTTCAGACATTGTACGCGATTGCACAAATTGGCTCTCTGGTGAAAATGCCGATGCCAAAGCTAGTGTCAACTGCATCAGCACCGTGGTGGCGCACCACGGCCTCGAGGAAGCGCCGCCCACAATTCAATTGCAAGATGGAGTTTCGGCGCAAGCCGTCGTAAAACCGAGGCTATTTGGCGGATGGGATCTCTGGGTTGTCTCCACTGTTGTGAGCGAGAGCCAAGACGGCAGCAGTGAAGTCGATATCTCGATGATGTATTGCTCAGATACTCTGGCTGAAGAGAGGGTGCGAATGTTGTTGCATGCACTGGTAGCCGAGGTGCATCGGTTGCGTCTTCTCGCCACTATGTAGGCGTGAGAGGCGATTTATTTTGAAGTCTAGGTATGTATTGCCAAGAAGCTCTTACCAGTTGAGATATCAAGCTGACTTGTGGAATCTAGGTGGAACATGACTAGACGTGCCGCCACGCTGCCATCTCATATTGGATTTCGTTCAGCCAAGGGACATGTTGATGAGTATCCTGGTCAGGTCAGCAGAGGCTCAGTACTGTCCCAAGCATCGTTCCGATCTCCGGTCGCCTTATTCTTGAAGTTCTTTCATACTGCAGTAGTCCCGTTCGTCCTGGTCTCTGAAGATGTTGCATCATTCCGCTTGCCGGCGCAACTCTCAACAGGCATTATGACCATCTCTTCTGGAAATCTGTTATCTTGCATTCTCGCTTTGAGATCGAATAGGCTGATATTCCTGAACCAGCACGATATGTCTGCCATCCGGGCCGGTGATTGTGAAAGAACCGTGGAATGGTCGAATATTCTCGCTCCCCAGATGATCACTTGATATGTGGTGTGCAATGTGCTGGTAAAATGGGAGCTCACGGTGGAATACCGAGTTGTGGATATAGACCTTCAATGCGACATATTTCTTGTCTCTGCAATAATACACCATCAGTTATTTAAACAAGGAGGAACTCTTTGGTCTCGACAAACTTGAGGTCCCTTGCCAACCATTAGTCGAACAACTGCCCCATCCTAGCTTTGAACATACTTGATAGCAGTCCCGGAAGATCTTGTCGATATGTACTGGGTAGTATCGATAGGCGCTGTTGTCGAACCACTGTTCTTCTTCCACTGGCTGGTCTGCTTCAATGACTTTGAATCCCTGTGTTGGAAAGGTCCGAGGCTTCTCTTTGGTGGACATCGAGTCCAATGTTGATGGTCTCAATTGAAAGGTCGTTGTTGGTGAGGCTCCCCTAGGGATGCGATAGGCGGGGTTTATCCCTGGCTGTGTTCTGACTATGCTCGAACGCAGGCGAGCGTTCAGACTTCCTGTCACTAAAGACCTCATTTGATGGGTCGGTACAAAGCTCCAGGGTTGCGAAGTTGATTTGGGTGTGACACGGTCGGCGTGTCGAGTTGACGCATTGACACGGCGACTACCCCAAGCATTATTCCGTCTTTTAAATCTGGCCCTTATAACTCTGGTTCCTGTCTTCTGCCATATGCTCCAACTAAGTAGAAAACAAAAGATGTTAGTCAGATAATGAAAAGGAATGTGGAAATAGTCCTAAAACCAAGCCCTTAAACGAGCACTCTATATGAGGCGGCTGGTACTTGTTACCTATGGGCATACTATACCGCTATCATATTAGCATGTCAGTAGCCTACACCAGTATTCCTAGATGCAATCAGTGCAATCGCAGGTTATATATGGGAAAGTCAGTTTGCACATTTGACACGTTTTCACTGTCTATATTCTACATTTTGCGAATAAGTCTTCTTATCCCCTAGCCACAACACCAATAACAGAGACGGTAGCTAAGAAAAAGACACCTAGAAAGACCACTAACAAAGACATGACAACGCCGTATAAGCGGCGCACTATTCTTATATATCACAAAAGGAATGGAATGAACCCGTATATCTATAGGCTATGTCGCACGGACAAACTACATATGTACCCAGCCCTATTACGTGATCAACACAACCATCCAAAATTGCGCCAAGCCAGCAACGAGAGAGCCCACGGCCATGGCAAAGATAGAAGTATAGTAAGAGACCGGAGCAGCCGAGACAAAGCTAATAGAAGAAGTCGCCGCCGAAGCCGACGCCGACGCAGAAGCAATCAACGACGAGCTAGCCTTAGCCGAGGTAGAAGTCCTACTCGAAGCAATAATGGAGCTCGAGTTCGCCGAGCTCAAGTTAGTTGCGGTAGTAGCGTTCGTAGCCTTAATACTCGTATAATCCCCGGTCTTGTCGGTGTACTCGTACGCCGAAGCCGGGTTGTAGTTGATGATATCGACCGACTCAACGTACATGGAGAACGGGCTTTCGGTGTAATCAGTCTCGCCACCGGCCCACAAGATTGTGCCCGAGGAGTTATCCGGGTCGCCGCCGGCCCAGATACCTATGCGGATGCGCGTGGGTGTTTGGGGGTAGTTTGTGCCATCGACAGCATCGGCGTATTCGACTGTGCGCACGACTTCTCCATCCAGGAGCCACTCGATGCGCTCTGAGGTCCAGTCGATTGAGTAGGTATGGAAGGTTTCTTCTGGGGTTGAGACGGTTACGGTTGTGCCGCGGTCGTAGGAGGTTGTGTTGCCTTTGCCGAAGTAGTTGGTTTGGATTTCTGTGTCATAGGTGCTGATTTGTTCCTGTTTCTTTGTGTTAGGTCTTTTTTTTAATAGGTTGGGGTTGGTGGCTTCAGCTCCCGGTCGACTCACCCAGTCGATCTCGTCCAGGTCGTCCGACTCTAGGATCCAGGTGCTGACAATACCAGTACCGTTGGCGGCTCTCATCTTGACGTCGACATGGCCGAAGAAGATATAGAACTCACTTTCGATTGTCGGCGCGTCACCCTGCTCGGAGATGGTGAACTTGGCGCCGAGGTCGGTGCTGGTTATGGTGCCGGCGGTGGTGTTCCAACGACCTAGTGATCCGGAGGTAAAGTCTGTGTTCAGACGGTACTTGTTCAGGCCGGTGTCTGCTGGGCAAGTCTCTGGAAACGAACTGTTAGTGCGGTTTCGCAGCGAATCAGATGAGATAGTTCGTACTCTTCAAAGGGTTGCAGTTGGTGGTAGTCTGTGCAGCCGCAGTCGCAGCCAAGGCAAGAGTAGCCCACTGGTAGTAGGACCTAAAACTCATATTGAAGCCTGTATTGCAATAAAGTAGACAAATAAAGTAATATATGCACAGAACGATCGATACGGATCGAGAAAAGAAGGGCGAATCCCCAGGAATTATAGTCAGTGGGATTTAGCCTCAGCGAACAAGCGAGAGCAACAGATGTATGAAGATGGGTCCGTTAGCCTTATTCTTAGATGTCGTTAATATGCCTAACCTTGGAACATCACATCGACCGCGACGCAAATGCTTCCAGCCAGCACATTGGGGGACAACGATTGGCTCTGTGGACAGGAACCATGGTGGAGCAGGCTTTGAAGACAAGTAAACGTGTAGTATCCCGTTAGATATTAGTTGTGGACTTGAAATTAATTGGTGATTCATCTGAAAAAAGCTTGGATGGAGGATTACGGGGCAGCTTGCGTAGTTGGCCCCAGATGGCTGGGAACTAGCGGGAGGACTACGTACGCCTGGAAATAATTGTCTCCCTCGACTCTGGCATGGCATCTTAGTTGATATTCTTTCTGTACTGGATTGGGTATTGAATGGAATAGGAAACAGAATATTTGATAGGTCATTTAAATTGCATCCCGACCAATTCAAGTCTTGACGAATTGCCCATGCACATTGACTTAGTCCGAAGTACAATACTACTCTTCAGACAATTATGAAGGATAGTACCTAGGTAACCTTTTTCTGCGGGGCATTGAGAGTGCCATAATGGCGCCATGTCTGAGTTGCGTCTCCAATTCATTCCCAGACAGGGCCCATCAAAGGAGATTCGGCTACCAAGATGGGTTGTGTTCGTACGATGCCCCCAACCATAATAGATTATTGCAAATATTGTAAACATATATTGAAAACTGGACAAGTAACATATAATGACAATGGCCAGCCAGGCATACCCTCGACTAAGAAGGTCCATCACGAAGCAGCAGGAAAGCCTCGTACTGCTTCCGAGTCACTTTCCGACACTTCTTACCCCAGTATATCATCGGTACAGTAGTCATAATGAAGCAGAAGCTCAAGACACCAATCGCAATGAAAACTTGCGCAAGACTTTGCGCATCCAACCAATTCTGGGCGGTGAATGTGAAAAGACAACCAATAGTGTTGTTGATGACAGAGACACCAACCATGCCCTCCAGCACCATATTAGGGTACGCATCCATGAGATACGCCATGCTAAGATCGCCTGCACAACCCCAGCCGAAACCAATGAATCCCAGTCCAAGATACGGCATATGCCAGTCCCAGCCTTTATCTGAACCGATCCCGAATAGCATGAGGCCGGCAGGTCCGATAAACGCGACAGGCAACAGGAGCCAGAGACGATGCTCAGCCTCGAAGACGCCTTTGTTTCGCTTGGCCATCCATATGACGAAGAAGTCGGAGAACCACCCACCGTAAATGCAGCCCAGGACCGACCCGATCAGTGTGGGCACGTTCATGATGCCCACTGCGGCGTCGCTGTAGTTCCAGGGTGCCTCGTACCAATTGTCCGCTTCAACGGTGAGGTAGAATGTTAGCCAGGCGTCTTGGGCACCCCATTGAAGGCCCGAGTAGAGGACTGCCGGGAAGGTGAAGACACGCAGTGTATGCAACAAGCGACGGCAATACTGCTTGAAGCCCGTCCCGACCAGGGTTGGCGATGGGGTTATCAGGGCGATACGCTGGAAATATGTTTTTCCTTTTTCCTGGCCGCATTCTTCATCGAGTTCACTGTCGGACGGTGTCGGCTGTACGCTCGCATCCGGCTTCTCCTTTTTGTCCAGTGGGAGGACATTCGACGTAGGCTCAGCCTTGACAGGAGGCGCATCATGTCCGCGAATAGGGTTGTTCCGATCGAAGAATGTTTCTTCCAATGTGAAGTAAAAGATAAAGATCAAGCCCCCGGATATGATAGCAGCAAGCCAGCCCACGTATCTCCATCCCAGGGGAGAGTCGACAATAAAGCTGGACACTAAGGGTCCCGTGAATGTACCGATACTCGTGGCAAGAACGTATAATCCCAGTACCAGACCTCTTTGATGCTGAAAGAACAGATCGGAAAGGGACAACTGGGCAAGCGCCTCGGCACAGGATTCGGAGGCGCCCACGAAAAGTTGGCTCCAAATGTTGTCCCCGACACTCTGTGTGCGGGCCAGCCCGATGGAGCCGATCACGGAAAACACCAGACAAATCAGATAGGAGATACGTCTTCCATATAAGAAAGGCGCTGGGCCGAGGAGCAAAGTGGTATATCCAATGCCGACAAACAAAACGCCTGCGGCAATGTTGATCTCGTCCCACGTAATGCCCAGATCAGCGTTCATCCCGTTCCCAGCGTTGCCGGCATCGTTGGCGGTTGCCGCGGTTAGGGCAACAAACACAAGGACCAGAAATGAATGCCAGTACCGTCTCCATTTGCTCCAGTTCAGTGGATCATTTGGAGAATTGGTGGGCGAGGGAATTAATGTGACCTCACCATCAACGCAAATGCGCTCGGTCCCATTGAGTTGCAGGTCCTTTTCCATTTCTAAATTCAAAATCGGAATCTGATTAAAACCAGACCTGGCAAGCCAGTCATGCTGGAGACATTTTACTGAGAAAAGAGCGTGTCAGCCTCTATGAGGGGGAAAAAGAAAAGGAAAGGGAAAATTGTGACAGAATTTTCGATTTCCATGTGGGGCGGTCCTGCGGGAGCTGGGCAGGGGCTAAGCATTTCCAAGGACGGGCGATGGAACTTAATAGTCCCCTTAGATTTTTTCTTTATATCTTTCATAGATCGATTAAGGTCATACGTATCTACCTTATAAGGACGAGGGGATGATCAGCTGCGGCGCACCCTAGTGGTTTGCTATAGCCCCAAATGCTCGACTTGAATTTTGAAGCGACTTTATTCAGGCTAGATCTTGACATAGCAGGGATTGTTTTGTCGCAAAATCCGAAAGGCAATATATCAAACCATGATAATTGGGTTTTTCTTCCTAGGGACTCCTCGCTAAGAAGTACGAGGGACATGCTTCTCAGAGGTCTATGTAATGTGTTAACCTGCTATATATAGTAAATAGTATCTAATGTATCAGCTAGGCAGCTCGTAAAGGCAATCTTGGAATGTATTCGTGTAGGAGTAAATGCTTGGGGTACGTGACTGATTGGGAAGGCAGCCTCGAGTCATACGCCCCTACCTCCGTATTGGAATGCTTTTTACCTTCCTCCCTGTATTTCTTCATTTTCCTTTCCAAGAATATTTATTCCAAGGATTTAGACTGTTGAACAATAAATTTGCTTTCGAAAGTCCCAAGGTTTTCTCTACTTCTCGGAACTCTAAACACAGCTTTTCAACTACCTCGACCACGCTAGTACCGTTCAGCACATTATGCACCGTTTGTGAAGTGTGAGAATCTTCTTTGGAGGGTTCTTTGGAATCTCTTGAGGGACGAGCTATGTCTTCAGAGATTTTACATGCGAAGACTTACTCACAAAATTGATCAGGTTTTCATTGAAAAGGCTGACGGCCCGATTGAACCGAGCGAGGGCGCTGTCTTTGATGCTCAAATGACTGGCGTTCATTTCATCAATGGTTCGGTCCATTAGGACCTATGATATCGCCGGGCAGGAATATCACCTCTGAATGGACAGATGAGAATCAAAGTAAGTGTCTGATGTCCGGGACTTTTCCAGACTTATCCTAATCCCGTTCAGAGGCGTGGCTCAACAGGATGATACCTGAAACGGGTCCTGTTATATGTGACTGTAAGGATCTACCACAAGGTTGTGCCATTTTGGCTGTTATCGATAAATTATAGCAAACTTCCCTAACCCAAGGACTGGGGACCCTCCGTTGACCCTGTTGCGGTTTCATGTAATGCCTTTGGTGTATTTTCTAAAGTTGAGTTTGAAATCTTGCAAGTAGCAAAACGACTGGGGCCAGGTTGTATATGCCTTCAAGCCTTCAGACATACATTGCCAATAGTGGAGAGAAGTGCGTGAAAAGCGAGCCTGATTGCTAAATTTCGCCACGATCGACAGATGTAAACACAGATTCACCCGCTGTAGGGTTTGAGCTTGGTGTACATACGGCCAAAGACTGGACGCGAAATCCTTGACAGTTGCCAAGTGTGCTTCCCAAATTTTCAAAGCTAAATGTAAAGGAGAGTACCCAAATGAGAAAGGACGTTCTGAACGGTACAAAATCCTGTAAGTGCTTTGAAGGCGAACGTATCACGATGCTGGCGGCGGTGGCAGTAGGTTGCGCTGGTCGTGGCGGTAGACACACGTGATGTCAAGGTCACTGGTGATTGGGAGGCTTAAAACGGCGTCAAAGGCGGCCGTTTCTGGCCTCCCAATACATCGTCTATAGCTTAATCCAGACTTGTATTAGAATCTTATTTTCTTATTTCACTTAATAGTCTGAGAGTTGAGAAGAATCGATGTCAGTTTATGTTGTATTTATGTACCTTTTGTATATCAGTTCTATACAAAAGATACACAATCATTACAATTTCCTATCCGGTGAGAATTTGCGTCCGTTGGGTGCCCGCGGCAGTACGTGTTGGGCGCTTGGCACTGTTATAGCGAAACAACAGATATAGGACTTGGACAATGTGAATATCAAGTTATGTAGTTTAAGATAATATCATGCACCTTGTAATTACGATTCCAATACTCCGTACGCTCTTTCTTTAATGTCTTCAAATATTCTCAAAGGATATGTTTGGGATGTCTATGAATGTCTGTTTAGAAACCCACGAACCGATTCAAAATTCCAATAGAAATAATTCTTACATTTGGAATAGGGATCCATTCATGCGACTAGGAGTGCTTATTCGATTAGTTATTACGCTGTTTATAACCTTGGAGCCTTGGAGCCTGGAGAGCCACATACAGAATTTTCTGCTGGCAATAAAAGCCAATAAGACCAAAGTCCCAAGTGGTCACTATCCACCACGATAACACTCGGACAGCCTAAACCCCCTCCCTCCACTTCTGTTCGACGTGCTCCTTGTTCTTGATCCTTGTTTACCCAACTTCAACATCGAATGTCCACTTGTCCACTTGGAATGGCTCAATATTTTCACTTTTCCTCTCCTGTTACGGGCATTAATCCCATAAAACCTAGTCATCGTTGCTCCGACCTGGTTGCGTTCGATGTGACTCCGAAGGAGTCGATCGAGGGAACACACGCAGCGAGGTCGGAGCGCATGAAGGTGATTGTGGTGGGAGCTGGAGTTTCTGGTCTGCATGCCGCGGCTGTCCTCCACCGGCATGGTTGTGAAGTTGTGGTATTAGAAGCACGCGATCGCATTGGTGGACGTATTTTGACCACCCGAAAGGGTGACCATGTCCGAGATATTGGTAAGATGGCTATACGAACCTGAAACAGAGATTGTAACAGGGGGAAGCCAAGGGAGACTCGCTGACGGTCAACAGGTGCGGCTTGGATGCATGAAACTTCCCAGAACAGCCTGGTGAAACTCATTCCCCGGCTCTCTATACCATATTATTATGACGATGGCGTTCCTTTGTACTTTACCAGAGAAGGCCGAACTGGGTCCCAGTTCAAAGCTAAGAAAGTTGCAGACGAGTTCGCTGATTACTGCGAGTGGTTCTACGAAACAAACCCGGAGGCTGAGGACCGTCCTGTCCACGAATTCGCGAAAGAGTTCGTCCTCCAACACCAGCTAATCACTGAAGATGAGCGCGATTGGGCTCCACAGGCTGTTCGAGAGGTAGAATTGTGGATTGGTACGAGTACGGATCAAGCGTCGTCTAAACATCTCTCTTACTTTATTACCGAGCGTAATCTATATATGAAGGGTGGCTATGATCGGATTGTGGACTGGATTGCGGAGCCTCTCCGAAACGATTCAAGCATCATCAGACTGAACCACCACGTCGAGGATGTGGAGTGGAACGAAGAGGGAACCGCACCAGCTCGAATCCGGTACAAGGACGCTGCTGGAGAAATCGGGTTCATTGATGGAGATGCAGTTATCATGACTAGCCCGCTGGGGGTCTACCACCACAACCTCGTCTCATTCAACCCGCCCTTGCCGAGTGACATCCAAGAGGGCATGTCCAAGTTCAGCTATGGCGCCTTGGGCAAAGTGTTTTTCGAGTTCGTCGAAGTTTTCTGGTCAAAGGAGAATGACCAGTTTGTCTTCTACCCGTCTCCGCCAGAGGAATCAGATATTTCATCCGGGTCATCTGTACAGTCCGGCCCCAGCATAAACTCCATCGGGGAGAATGATAATATCCTCAACTACGCCACCGTGACAATCAACCTATGGATCATGACGGGCAGCAAAGAGCTTTGCGTACAGATAGCCGAGCCTCTGACGCAACGCATCGAGAAGATGCAAGATCCGAAGGAGATATATCTATTTTTTGAACCGCTTTTCAGACTATTCCGCACAGAACCCTACAAGGCTTTGCCCCGCCTGGTCAATGTTGAAACTACACATTGGACCCAGGACCCGCTGGCTGGGTATGGAACCTATTCCGCCGACAAGGTTGGAGATGAGCCACAACTTCTGGTTGATGCGTTGGAAAACCACAAAGCCAGTCGGTTGCAGTTCGCCGGTGAGCATTGCGCTGTTGCTGGTAATGGCTGTGTGCATGGTGCTTACAAGTCGGGTGAAACCGCCGCAACCAATCTGCTCGAGGGCTTTGGGATTCCATACGATGGTGTTGACGCCATCAGTTTGAAATGAAGTGCGTTCATTCTTCGGGTCCGAGGTGACTTGGACTGAAGGATTGACTTGGTCATATTTCAGTTATATATTGGACACAGAGTTTACCGGGTGGTTGCACTCGGAAATCTTGTGTACTATCTCGATTCATGTCAAATAAACCTATCATGGTCAGCTGTCGCAAGACGAGATTGGAAGTCTCCGGACATAATCCACATGCCCACGTTCAACTGCTTACTGAGAGACCGTTCTGAGCAAGCTGTTAAGCGTAATTATATGACGACGGCGTACTTCGGGGATCAAAATGAAGAACCTGGGAGATGATGTGGGGGGTCATAGCTTTAGCATGTCACTGCATTAGCTCGTGGCGCTTAATTCTATACGAGCGGTGGATTGACTCTACTGAGGCTCACAAGGACTCAGATGAAGAACAGCCTTTTGCGAACATTTGGTAAGTAAGGTCTTTGAAACAACGAGCCGGGGGAAATGCTTCGGAGCGAGCGACCCCTACAGTTCTACCACAGCATGAATTACGCGCAAATCTGCCATGGAAGGCAAACGTCGTCCGGTTGTCGGGTTGCAGGTGAGTTTGACATACCAGTAGCTCCTATAAATTGTTCCTAGTGGTCACTGGTGGAAGGTCTCTTACTAGGAGGGCAAAAAGCGCAAGGAGTGAACCTGGCAGGTCAGGTTGTCAGGTGCTTTCTACTAGACGCAACTACCTAGGTAGCCCACGGGTGGTAACTAGTATACTAATAGGCCCAGTAAAGGGTACCTAACAAACATGGTATTGTTATGAAGCACTCACCTGTTAGGTGAAAACGCGAAATATGTGTAGTAAGCTGAATAGGATATTACCTATTACTATGTCTACCCGTAGGCTACTAGGAGCTACCACGGATCCATAGTAAGTCAGCATCAAGTTTAAAGGGCTAATAACTACTAGGAACTATTAGTGATAGGTAATTATGCCTAGGTGGATATACCACAAAAGGCACTGGATGCAATATCACTCATTACACTGGATACAAAGCAGCATCTTCGAGAATGGAAAAGTCAAGTCCGTAATTTGTTTCTATTTTGCTTTTGTATCCTCATTAAAACCCCTTCCCAGCCTATTCGCAATATAAGATGATCAACGCTTTTAGACGCAACACTAATAGGGAAATTTGAAACGTGATGCATGGATACATACGATAGTCTCTGATCAATCCAAATCTGACCAAGCGTGGCCCACTCTTACCTCGAATGCTCCACACCTGGGCAGCAGATGAGGACCCGGGGAGTGAATAGATGCCCTATTTAAACCCTGAAAAGTTTCTTTTTTCCTTTCTTTTTTGTTTTACGCGAAAGCCGCGCCCTAAAGATGGCCCGTTCATTAGCCAACAACAAGATGTGGATTCCAAATTAGCCCTTCCTAAGTAGCTGTTATTGTTGAGCTATGCCCGAGGCCACAATCTGCGCAATTGAGAGGAGAATTAGCTATGCAAAAAAAGTACGAGCAATAATAACTTGTTGTTCCTTAGCTTAGGCCTTTTCCTTTTCAAAGATTTTGTGTCACGCCAAGGGGTTTTCAATGTCACCTTTTATAACGACCCATGTTTGGAAGGACTCCAATGGCAGTAATACCCCCATCGTGTCCAACCCGGGGTTTCCCAACTACGAAGACGGCGAAATGAGCGAGAGTAGCGAAATAGAGAATGCCGCCGGTCAGCTCAAGGAGATTCGCGAGTTCAGACAAGGTCTCCATCAGCGACATATTCAGATGATTGCTCTCGCCGGTACGGTGGGGACGGGTATTTTCCTCAGTTCGGGCCGTGCCATTGTGGAAGCTGGACCATTGGGTGCCTTCTTGGCATATACAATCATCGGTGCTACTGTTGCGAGCGTTGTCTACGGAGTTGGTGAGATGGGAGCCCTGGTACCTCTCAATGGCGGCGTTATTCGATACGCAGAGATCTTCTGTGACCCCGCGCTAGCGTTTGCCAACGGGTGGAACCAGGTATACTCCTACTGTGTGTCGATTCCATCCGAAATTGTCGCTGCGGCTGTTATCATTGAATTCTGGATCACTGTCAACAACGCAATATGGATCACTGTGCTTGGATTCCTCATGCTTTCCACTGCGTTTGTCTTTGTTCGCGTGTATGGAGAGCTCGAGTTCGGCTTTTCTATCCTCAAAATCATGCTCATTATAGGCGTAAATCTGATGGCTCTGGTGATTGCACCCTTCAGGACGGCATATTGACTTTGCGTGTTAATCCATTTTGATAGGTAATTACCTGCGGTGGAGCCCCGAATAAGTCGTCCATTGGATTTGCGTACTGGAAAGCCCCTTATGGTCCCTTCGTCCAGTACTTGGGGGTGGGCGGTCCCCTTGGACGTTTTCTGGGGTTTTGGAAAACTTTCGACAACGCTCTCTTCGCTTACTCTGGTATCGAAAACTTCACTCTCGCTGCAGCAGAAACTCGAAACCCTCGACACTCTATCCCCATGGCCGCCAGACGTATCTTCGTCCGCATCTTGCTCTTTTACGTGATAACAATCTTCATGGTCGGTCTGATTGTTTCGTCTGCTGATAAGAAGCTTCTGGGCTCGTCGGGAACGGCCTCGCAGTCCCCTTTCGTTATCGCAGCGCGCCATGCTGGTATCAAAGTGGTCCCCTCGATTATCAACGCAGTCGTGCTCACCTCAGCATGGTCCTCCGGGAACAGCAATATCTTGGGTGGCTCCAGAATCCTATATGGTATGGCAACCCAGGGTCACGCCCCTGCTGTCTTCACACGTATCAACCGCTTCGGTATCCCTTGGGTCGCTGTCGCGCTCTATGGCGCTTTCATGTCACTTGGATACATGAGCCTTTCCAGTTCGGCTAGTACGGTATTCACATGGCTACAGAACCTTGTCTCTATCTCGACGCTAGTGAACTTGATCTGCATCTGCATTGTCTATCTTAGATTCTATTACGGATGCAAGAAGCAGGGAATTGATCGCTTCAGGGAGCTCCCGTGGGCAGCACCCTTTCAGCCATACATAACATGGATCTCATTGGTCGTGTACATTGTCCTGTTTTTCACCGGAGGGTTTACAACATTTATGCGCGGCCATTGGAGTACTGCAACCTTTGTTTCGACCTATTTCAACCTGCCGTTCATCGTCATTGTGTATTTTGCCTACAAATTCTGGGCAAAAACGAAGATCATCCCGCTCGCGGAAATTCCCATTCGGCCTTTCATCGAAAGTTGGCACAAAAATCCTGAGCCGGAGCCTAGACCGAAGCGCGGCCTCAGGAAACTCAATATCTTATGGTCATAATTTGTACCATGTTGGCATCTTCTTCTGTATGCACTGCAGCAGTTTCACCATGAGCCTGACATCGAACCGGGCCGGTCAACGAGAGCGCCTTGAGACCGAACACCAGCCTGCCCCGTTTTAGGGCTGAGGGGCCGGGCAATGCCGGGCCCGCTTTCACGTATCGGAAACAATCGTGGTGGCTAGTTACGTTGTACCTTAAAATAAAAAAGTTTGCTTGGCTTATTATAGTTGGGAATACAAGTGGAAAATTAGAAAAGGCGTAGAAGTAGAAGTGTATATATAGAGCGCGCGTAAAACAGGAACAGAAAGTGACTCATTTAGTATAGGAAAATGCTGAGTTGTGACTCCATCGGGGACCGAAACTGGGCTAGTGCTGCCATAGAATTCTCACTTTTATTTTCTTTACGATCTTCTCCAAAACACTAAGAAACAAAACGGCTTAAAGATGAGCCTACCTCAACAACCCACCTACGTGATCGTCCCATCACCAGGGCCCTCAATTGAAAGCGATCGACTCCTCCTTCGGCCAATCACGGACGCCGATGTCGCCGCACTTTTCGCCATTCGTTCCCGGCCCGAAGTGGCAGAAATGAAGTTAGTACAAATATCATTTACTGAACAAGGAATGTTTACTATGCTAACTGTACCAGCCACCCTAAAACACCATTCAAATCAATCGAAGAAACCCGTGAATGGATGGCAACCAAGGTGTTCACAAGTGGTCCACCCGATATCATTGGGCGTTCATTCAATTATGCCATTGTGGACAAGTCAATCCCGGAAACAGAGGAGCGAGTCGTTGGGTCTCTCAGCATCAATCAAGTAGACCCCTTTCCTGAGATCGGATACGGAATTCATCCATCTTCTTGGGGAAAAGGGTACGCAACAGAGGCTTTGCAATTGATGTTGAAGATGTGGTGGAATCTGCCGCGTCGGACATTTGACGGTGGAGATGCTTGTCCGGCAGAGCCTGAGAAAGCTTTTGCTCTTTGCGAAAAGAAGAATGCTGGGAGTCGCCGTGTCCTAGAAAAGTGTGGCTTCAAGATCGTGGGTGATCTCCAAGAAGAGGGAATTGACCTTTTTATTTTTGCGTTAGAGCGGCCATGAATTCAAGAATATGACTGAGCGCTAGAACCCATCGGGGCTTTCGAAGAAAGATATGCCCGTATATAGGGATATTTTTTGAGTCTGAAGATCTGGCTGAAAATTAATTGCCGCTTTCCAAAAGAGCAGATATTGGTCAAATATGTACACACGGCGTATCCAAGAATCGAACCCTGCTATCACGAAGATTATAATATACAGCTATTGAACAAGTTTGCTCACTGGCTCGCTTTCGCAGCATCCAGGATCACATCAGCTGCCTTCTCGCCCACCAAGAAGGTGGAAAGAGCAGTGAATGTTCCGGGAATGCGGGGATATACAGAGGCGTCCACAACGCGAAGGCCCGAGACGCCACGAACTTGGAAGTTAGAATCCAAAACAGCCATAGGATCATCATCAGTTCCAATGGGGCAAGTGCATGAAGCGTGGTGACCCCAAGCCGTATTCTTGATATAATCATGGATCTCCTCATCAGTTTGGATATCGTCACCAGGGAGGACCTCAGATACATCAACCAACTGACGGCCAAAGGCGCCACGCGCAACACTAATAGCCTCAGTGATAGCCTGCAAATCCTTTTCATAGTCACCAGAGCCAGTGTCAAAGTAGTTGAAAGTAATATTGGGCATATCGAGCGGATCGGCGGAGCGGAGCATCACAGTCCCAGCTGTGTTACGGGGGTGAGCCTTCAAAACCGCCCAAGTAAACCAGTCATGGCGGTCTGTGATATTAACACCGTATCCAGGGAAGTATCCGCGGAAATTAATTGGCCCGCCGAACACAAACACATCGAAGCTGTCATCTGCAGTCACGGAGCTCTTATACAACATAGCAGCTCCGAATCCATTAGACGAGTAGATACCGCGGTTCCCAAGGACTGGCTTATTCCAACGGTCAAGACAAGGATCATCACCATGATTGAACGTGCATCCATCAAGGGCAGTGAAGTCCTTGGGGACATGGCCTTGCACCGCAGTTTCGTAGTGGTCTTGCAGGTTCGTTCCGACGCCGGGAAGGTTGGAGATAACCTTGATTCCAAATTTCTGGAGCTCCTCTACTGGTCCAATACCACTAAGCTTCAGAATCTGAGGCGAGTTGTACACGCCGCCGGAGACGATAACCTCGCGCGAAGCTGCTGCTGAGCCTGGTGTTCCCCTGCCAGCGGTCTTAGAGCGGGGACTGGCGCTATACAGATACTTGCCGTCTAGGAACTCGACGCCAGTAGCGCGCGGAGGGGTACTCTCGTCAAAGGTGACCTTAGTCACATGGCAGTTCATACGGATGTCAAGTGGGAACTTCTTAGACCCGTCGGCATTCTTGGCATCCCTAACGGTGGTCACGAACTCGCGAGGACCGTTACGAGAACTTCCTTCCGATGCCAGGGGGACTTGGTAGTATCCTGGTGTAGTATCCCGGTGGTTTCTGGCCGAGTTCGCGTCTCCTGCGAGTAGGGTACCGATGTTGAAAACTGACTTGGTCACATTACCCAGGGAAAATGCTCCGCCAAGCAGTAGGCTCAGAAGTTGGGGGTCTTTCAAAACAATATCTAGCGGTGCGGTCTCGGTGCTTAACCAACCATCGTAGCCGTGGCCCTTGAGCAATGGGAGCAGGTAGCGGTTGTTCTCCATGCGCTCGAAGTACTTGCGCATGTTGTCGGGGGACCATGACCCATCTCCGGTGAGTGTGGCGAGGTATTCGAAATCGGAGTCGTGTGGGTAGACGGTAACGAGGGCGTTGTGTGCCGTACAGCCACCAAGCGTTCCGGTACGAGGGTAAAGTGTGCCTTTCATCGTGGAACCCGCTGGTGGATTCAAGCCCGTGTATTCTTTGCCGTCGGGAGTTTCGTACGTTGTCTTGAAGTCGAGCTTTTGCCGAGACTCATCGGAGTAGTGCTTAACGTAAAAGTTCCATGCCAGAGCTTCATCTTCCGAAGCCGTCGCGGAGAAAGCCGGGACAGTATAGTTCAGATTTGCTCCCTGGTCATCTCCAGCTTCGATCAGAAGCGTGCTATGGCCTGCCAAGGCAAGTCGTGCCGCTAAAGGACCACCTCCTGCCCCAGAGCCAACCACGATATACTCATAGCCCGATAGCTCAACAGCCTTGACGATGGCAGAAAGCGCGGCCACGCCGAGAAGGCGACCGAAAAGCATGACGAAAGTAGTGCTATAAGACTGGTCAAATGAGTGGAAAGTGGCCGACCAAAACGCCAGGTCTCATTGTCTTTATATCTCTCCTGTGTTAGGGCTGGGTAAATATTAGCTGAATGCCATGTCCTTTTTTGTCGCTAAAACCCGAGTCAATAGTCAAGCGAGATTGAGTTTTTGACAATTGATGGCAAGCCTCGCATATCCTATTGGCAGCGACTAGCTCTAACCCCACTGTGAAGACCCCACGTAGGGGTCGATTTTCGTGCCAACATCCTCACGATGATCACACTGACTTCGTCAGCCTCTAAGGAATGGTATATCGTGGATGGCATCAAGCAGTTTTTGCGGGATGGAGAGTCGGGATTGATTGACATGATCACTGAGTATTATTGTAGGCTGCAACAACAAACACCAGGTAGAGTGGAGTCAGATAGGGGCTCGAACGCTGAGAGTAATCACGAGGAATTGTTGGCCATTCAAGGCCTTGACAAGTGAGTCGTCATCGTCGTAGTTAACTTGAACGACTCGAACTCCATCGGGGAGTTCTCCCTGGCTATCTTGGCGGGTGAGAGCTGTGACTGTATGTCGGCCTGTTTCCAGAAGCGACTTAGCAAACGCCCCGCCAATGCGGCCGGTAGCCTGGTGATGGTTAGCAGTTCTTCTAGAAGGAGGCTGGAGAAACGCAGGAGATGAGGCGGTAGACTTACTCCAACAATGGCAACTCTTGTGACAGGTTTCGTGGACATAATGAAAGAAATGATTTATGGGAATGATCTGGGCTCTTTGCCTAACAAGTGGCTCCGACACTGGATTATATATTCATGATAGTCCCGGACGTAAGCGGACTACGGGCGGGAGGCCGTCGAAGAATAGATCTAAGCATCGGAGTTGACTGTTAAAGCCGAGCCTAACTTGGCTTGCACTAGCCACCGGCCGTAGTATTCTTCTTGTCCCCGATGCCCCATATTAACGCCGCAACCAATAAAACAAAAGACTCCATCTAGATCTATATCTCCATCTAGATCTATATCTCCATCTAGATCTATATAAACCACGCTGGAGTTAGGTATTATGAGCGTATGCGAAACAAAATACAGTTACATCAGCGCGTAAGCCACGCAGATGCTAAATGTCCCAATAAAATAGACCAAAAACAGAATAAGCGTATGTGAAAGGCCATGTGCCCCTTCGTGTACGGCGGTACCATTCACCCATATCTGTATTTCAGCTGGTTCTTTTGTGGTGCCGCAATCGCCGTAAGAGTCTTGCCCGATGGTAAAGGTCCACACTATTTAGGGATGTAAGTCTAAATCCATATTTGAATTACGTCGATTCACACTTACCCATCCGTAGTTATCGCACCGACATTGTTCGTAAAGAGGACAACTGAAGACGGAAATGTGGTTATTAGTATCCCACAGTAACCAAAAGACTGTGTCTCCCACAAGGCACTTACTGGATCCCTTCCATACCGAACACTATATGCCACAAAGTTTCAAACACCCACCCAACACCGTAATCGTCAACAAGGGGGACGCTCTTCTTGTCTATCCAGTTTAGCATACGGATATAATCGCTTCTAGGTCGCTGCCAGATGCGTGCTCGGCTGACCGCAAACTGGGCACAGCAAATCCCCCCAATGTGTTCCGGAACTTGAGCCTCTTCCCCAAATATGCCTTTATATATACTAGGAAAGTTTGCACGCGCATCGTTCTTGTCAATGTCCGCTTGCGTGGGGCTATTGGGATTGATGTGAGTCGGACACCCTGGGTTATTCGTACAGCGCAGGTTCAAATACCCCATCGCGTCCACAGCTTCGCGGCGCAGGCTTTTCAAAACGCTGCTTGTTTGGGGGCCAAATAAATCATTGTGCCACTGTTCGGGGTTGGCATGAAGGAAAATCGAGTATTCGGGGAGCTCCTCGTACAGGTCGACAACGAACGAAAGATAGGCGGAGGCCTCGCGGCCACGCGATGAGTGTGCGACGAGTAGTTCTCTCTCGGGTTTCTGGTCCATGGTATAAATGAACGGAGTGTTGTCGGTTCTGACCATGGGCATCCAATTAGTATGGTCGCTTGTAACCGGGGGGTTCTGCTTACTGTGTTTGAAGATAATCACGAAGCCATCTCAAATCATCTGAGCGTGTTTTTGGCAATACCAACGCGACCTTTGTAGAATTTACGTCGTAGCTTTGGGTTTTCTTCACAAGTTCAGATAGCGCCGCGACCTTTTCTGTCTCTTCTGCTGATTGTTCTACTGATATCAGCATGGAGTCATACTAAATTTGATAATGCAGTTTCGTACTTGTATCCAGAGTCTCGTCCACAATTTGGACTGAGCGATAATCATCCAAATGACCGGATTTTATAATCATGAGAATTGCGCAGGCAAATATCATGAATCCTGATAATGTGGGCTGATGCCTGATCCATGAGGCTATTGATCTCTTGAGCCGCCCCGGATTTACACGGCTTTCAGATCTGCTGTGACCGCACTTATCGCTGTTCATTCTGAATATTTCTAAGATCGAAAAGTAGAATGGGCGAAACAGGAATTATTGTGGTTTCCTTGGTTTATGACTTGGCTCACAGTTAGGTTTGCGACATGTGGGTACTACCTGTAAGGCTATGCATAGCCTCCATGGAAGCTGTGTGTCCAACTGGAGCTCCACACAAGATATATTTTGACTCGTTTTGATAAGTTTTGGCCAGTCATAGGGGAAGCTCAAGATTCTACTCCAATAGTATGGTTGCCGCCCCACTTCTTCCCTTTTCTAGGCGATGAAGCTCTCTAGATCTCTCACACACTGTTACTTCATGCATATCACAGACAGCTGCCTAAAATGTCTAGATACAAATATGAAGTCCCTGTACTTGCAAAGAGTACGGCATATCGACCCATCTTTAAACACGAACTTACTCAAGGAATGGATGTGATCACCTGCAGTTCTCTGGTCTTTACATTATAAATGTAGATACCCACGGAGTACGAAGTAACCATTGTTAAGGTCAAAGATTCAAATGTAGACTGGTTGTGGTTACGCAGGCCATGCGCCATGTGTAAACCTGATGTATCATAGGTCGCAGTCGCTGCGTACGTGGCTCGCCCTTGCGTGGTGGGGGTCCCTTGCTTTTGCTGTTGACATATCTTACCGAACGAGTCATCTACCCAGCGACCATTTTCTGACCACGTCTGTCTTTGCTGTAAGTGTATGTCAGCATTTATACAGATGACAGTCTGTGCACCCTTTTGTCTGCTGCTATTTGTTTGGTTTCGCGGTCGATAGCATCATGTTCTTGCCCCGGCACCCGTAGATGAATGACTAACATAGCCGCAGATAATGGCCACGATTGCATTCCCAAGAGCAGAAGGTTCTCATCCTCTGAGATTTTGTGGGCTATCCTTTGGTTCAAACCCGGATTGAGGGACGTCTGCTTTTATTTGTTACCGATTCCAGGACGGCTCCCTCGTGATGAGGGCCGGCGCTTGAACCGGGGTATCAATTTAGCGGGAAACCTCGTGCATTGAAGGCTCAGTTGAGTTGGAACTTCAGAGGCTGGTCTCTCTTGAAGAAGCTGGACTCGGTATATGTATGTTGTCGAAGATGGATGGTGGGTTTGAATGTCCCTGGTGTTGAGGGTGTGAAAACGGGGTAGAATGGTAAAGGAAGAATGTTAAGGGAATGGGGAATTTCGCAGTCCCATCTGATGTTGAAATTCGATGTAGAATGCCGCATTAAAGTTGAGGCCTGATACTCAAGGTAAGCACTAGGCAGCCACGGCCCAAAACAACATCACTCCAATACTTCGTTTCATCCAAGAACATCGACCAAAAGTCAAACTCTCCCATCTTTGCTTTCTTACCTCAAGTCTGTTGTTCCTACTCTGCTTCGTCGCCCACTATGAATACTTCCATCTCTCCATATCCCAAGCCGGCGGTGTCGCTGACAGGCCCCACTGGGGCTTTTATGGTCGAGTTGCTGATCTGGAACGGGTCGCCTTTCAAAGATCACTGGGCATACTTCGTTCGGTCGCACGCAGACCCTGATATCGGCGTAAAGATACACGCGACCGGCAATGTGAGAAGCGGCTTCGAGTTCGAAATTAAGCGTAGTGAAAACCTGCTATCAACCGACGACGTTCCTTCAACAAGGGTCCCACTGCAATGGGTTGACATGAAATACTTTGACCAGAAAGCTATGCTTAACGACGGAAAATACGAGATCGACCACACGCCTGTCTGTCCCTTCGAGAGGAGTGTCTATGAAATCAAAGCTCCAGGGAAAAGCCTGAATACGGTCGGTGACGGGGTGAGTCTTTAATACAGCTGTATCCCTAACCTGGCCCCTTGAACCCATGTCATGAATGTGTCTGCCCTTAGAGCCACCCTTATACACGGCTCTATATTGCCTCATTAGGCTATGTGAGCTAATTCGGGCGTTCTAGACCAAACCAGGTCGGAAAGTTATTCAGAGGGATTGCCAGACATGGATCGTCGAATCGGCCGATCGACTTCGCCGTGACGGCATTTTGGGCAGTGGGGCAGTCGCTTATCTTCACGCAATTAAACAGTGATGGCAGATTGAACCAGCGCTTGAGCCAGGTATACTTTCCTGATAAAAGCCCCTTTGGATCGATCTCCTGTGGAATCTTCCCTGCAATGTACACCAATCGTCGTCGAATTGTCGGTGGGATACAGTCGAGAGATTCACCCTATTATGGGGGTTCCCTGACCAGGGCATACAATACTTTGTGTACCCGTACGCGGACCCCGACGCAGGTTGTTCTGCAGGCGCGCTAAGGTGAACTTCAGGGGAAAGTGGGTCAACTCCAAAAAGAAAAACAAAGTGTCCCTACAAGAATCATTATGGAACCCTGAAAGGTTCAAGACCAGCACTGCACGGACGGTATCCCTTTCTCGGTTCCCCGCATTTCGAGCAGAAGTGCCACATGTTCTTCTACCTACATAAGTAGGGATAAACAGTTGCTTATTTTGTGATGGGAAATGGGGTTTCTAGAGTGTCGATCCTAATTTCCAGCGTTGAACCCAGCTTCATGAAGCACATGGAGTAACTAACTAGTGCTTCTGAGTGCAGTAAGCATGTACATACGGAGTACGGAGTAGTTAGGTATAGTATGCAACAAGTCTTGTAAAAGAGACAAAAGGACAGCCGAGGTATGTCGTATACTCTCCATGATCTCTATTTTCGTTTTTCCTCCATAGAATACAAGCCCCTATAGTGGGACCTCACGTCACGTCGACTGTCCGAGCCGTCTCTGAAATATCGACGCAAACATTAAATCAAAAAGTTTTCATTGAAACAGCTTTCGAGCAGTTTCACAGTCCTGTACATTGTATATTAGCTGTATATGCTCAACATGATAAAGTGTTGTCATGAGAGAATGGGGGATCCTGACGATCTTCATGCTAGGATTACCACAGCTGCCGGAAAAGCTGGTGTCCCCTACATCATGCCCAATGCGTACGGATACCCTCTCAAACCTGAGGGTGTGAAGGATGATGATCCATACGGAAAGCTGGTTCTCAATCGAATCGACGACGCTCAAAATGGTGTCTCGTCTTCAGTGACACTGCCATGTGGCTTCTGGTACGAGTGGAGCTTGGCAACCGGTGAGCAATGGTTCGGTTTCACTATCAAAGACCGGAAGGTGACCTTTTTCGATGATGGTACTCGCATCATCAGCGTCAGCACTTGGGACCAATGTGGTCGCGCGCTGGCCGCTCTCCTGAGCCTGCCAGAGTCGGGGCCAACCCCTGCGCTTGCCGACTTCAAGAACAAGGAAGTTCGGATCAATAGTTTCCGTGTCTCGCAACGTGATATGCTAGATAGTTTGCATCGTGTACTAGGCACCACAGACTCTGACTGGGAGATTAGTCACGAGAGGGTGGATAAGCGCCTTGCAGACGGCGCCGAGGAGATGGCTAATGGTGTTTTTACGGGGTTCCCTAAAACGCTTTATGGGGGTGTATTTTTGCAAACCAATAAGGAAGCCGACTTCGCAGGGACAATGGAGTTGGCAAATGATATACTGGGGCTACCTAAAGAGGATTTGGATGAAGCGACTAAGAGGGCGGTCGATATGGTGGCTGCAGGATGGAACCCCTTTCCTGGGGTATAATCTGACTCACGTTCTTACCAGATTCCTCCTTGGCAAGTCTCATCATGCAATTGTTGATTTTAAGAGCATGGTACTATGTATAAGCTTGCCCCACTAGGAATGTTTCTACACCCTCATACTTATCTAGTTTATCATATATCGTTGTCCGACACTAAACCTCGAATTCTTATGGAGCGCTCCCTATCTACTGTTATTTGGGGGAAATGGATAGTAAATAAGGACGCTGGCGTAGATGGCTGATGGTCTTCTGCGGTCGTTTTCAACCTTGGAAGATCAGATCATTCCAATGACGTCATCACAGACTGTTCTCTTATCGATAATCTAATCTTCACCTTCCCACCCGTGGACGATCTCCAAGCACATTCTTTCCACCCCATGCTGCTAACTTATAGCCTACACCATGTCCGAGAAGATCAAAGATGCAGTGCTTGCCGAAGCCAAAAATAGTCAAGCAGTTGCTCATGATGTGATTACGTCTGGCGCGTACTTGTATCCATTCAAGGTAAGTAGCTATGCCCTTCAAGGAGAGTGCTTCCCGACCGTCTCTAACTACAAATGAATGGATTTTCATAGGGAATTGTCTATTTTGCAACCCACAAAGACCTCTGGCGGCCTTTCATCTCTCGTGCTGGTCGAACCATCACGCTGGGAGTAGGCGTCACGAGCGTCATGTTCTTCTTCACGTACATGCCGCAAATGGCCATCATGGCCTTCACCAGTGGTCCATTAGCTGCTATTTCCGCAGCAATCCTCGTTCTTGGTGAAAGTTCTGCCATAACAAACATCCTCACACGCTCATTCCTCGTCGAAGATGCCCTGATTGACACCTTCGATGGCACCCTGGTCGCGCGTGGCCAGGAGCCCCTCGTAGCACAAGGACGCCAGATGAAATCCCTATCAGGGAAAGATGTGATGGCTAGGCTGGGTAAGATATTTACTAAGCCTCTCGCGCAGCTGAACCCAAGGGCGCTGCTGCGATCGTTGCTCTACCTGCCCCTGAACCTCATTCCTGTGGTCGGGACGGCATTGTATATATTCATGCAGGGGAAAAGAGCAGGACCGGTACTTCATGCCAGATACTTTCAGCTCAAGGGCTGGGACTCTACGATGCGAGAGGAATGGGTGAAGAAAAACCAGGGCGCGTACGCTGGGTGCGTAGACTCCATCTTTCCCTTTCCTTGCCGGTTGCTATCTGGCCAAATGCTAACTGCCTCCTCAGACTTGGAATTGCAGCCTTTGTCTTGGAGATGGTACCATTTGCCTCGATCGTATTTTCGTTCACGAACACTGTTGGCGCGGCTCTCTGGGCTGCGGATTTGGAGAAGGCAACCAAGTAGCCGGCTGGCCATAGACTCAACTAATTGTGACACATGTCAAGCCTGGAGATTGGATTCATTTGTGGTGCTCTTTCTTCAAACTCCGTAAAAGATAAGATCAAGTTATTGTTTCATTTCTATATTTCCTAAGGTTGTGAAACGCAAGGTGATACCTAGGTAGACTTTGTCAAAGGATTCCAAGGTTGGTTCTAAGACCACGCATCCCACGGTCACCCCAAAGCTTGGCATAGCTTTATTCACAGAGCATTGTTCTATGGAAGAGTCCTCCGGCTTTCATTCGGAAGACTCTCATTCCTTTGATTTCAAAGTCTTATGATGGTCTTTTTGGCCTGTGTCTTCAGCCTCGATGGCGTGATTGACTGCCACCATCTTCACTTCCCAAGTTATTGAATATTCCATTCCAGTCTAGCTGATCAAATACAAGGCACTGTTTTGACTTGACAATACTGTTTGACATCCGTGTATGCAGCAGATACAAAACCAGTATGTCCATGTTGACAGTGTTCGAATCGACATGGAATGGTAATCCCGGCGCAAGACACGGGAACCTAGCCATTCAACAAGAACTACATCATTTTGTCAATGAATGTATTGAGTCAATCACATATAGGGGAATAATAGGATAAGGAGTGTTAAATGAAAATCAATGCAATTGATCAGGACAAAGCATCAAATTCAATGATCTTCACAATCCTCCCAATCATCCTCGTGGTCCTCTTTGATACTAAAAACATCATCAATGAAATGGACCAAGGATTCCAAGAAAAGTTCATCTCGTGGGACACAATGTGTCCCTTTGAAAAAGTACAATGCAGTGTTTGTGCTTGAATCACGAAGTCTCAGCGATGCAGATTCGGGGATGATTACATCAATGCTGGCGATAGCAAGGAATATCGGTGTCTCAATCTTTGGACTGTATAGGTCATTGTAAACAGGGTCCCCAAATGTGAACCCACAAACCGCGACCACGAACTTCAAAGGGGGGTGATCCGTCTATGAGGGGATGAAAGTCAGCCACCCTGCTTTCACCCAGGGATATTCAATGGCGATGATATTTCCCCCAACTTACATTGAAGTTGAAATTGCCGATCGAGTGTCTTTTCTCCAAAAGAGAAGCAATTATAGCACCCATAGCGGCGCCCATTGAGAATCCCATGACTCCTAGGAATGGGCCATTTCTCTCGAGATAGCGGAAGGTATCGTTGACGGACTGCTCAAGGCCACGGGCATGATCATCCACATTATCGGCATGTCCCCATGCCCACAGGTGGTTGCTTTCTCCCGGGAGTACATCAAGTTTAGCAGGCCACCTGCCTGAAGGATAGTGGAACTCGACCACGTCAGCAGGCCCTGAAGTTGGATCTTGCTGTAGAGCGTTGAGTATGGTATCTGTTACTCGAGGCTTCAGAAATTCGGTCTTGCATTGGAGCATCTGTCCGGACTGGGCGTGGCCTATAGAGAAGAGGCGCGCGAGTCAGAACGCTTCTTCAAAGTTCTATAGAACATAGGGGTATGGTACCATGCAGCATCAAAATCTTTGGACATGATGCCACAGTTGATTGGGGTGATGATTTCAAGTCCATTTTGATAAATGGGCAGATGGAGAGATATTGAAATTGGGACCGGTGATCCTTTCCCGTATACCCTCTTTGGGCCTTTCAACATGTGAGTAGCATACAGCTTATAAAGCAAATGCAAGCTTGAGACCCTTTCAATGACTACTGAATATGGGGTGTTGGGGATAGGTGGGTTACACACTATTAGGTCATGTATGATTGTGGCTAGATATAAAACATACATAAGGAAAGGATGCACAAAGCTACGCAAAAGCACAGGATATAGACTTACTGGGAGTTTTGCCAACAACCTGTGTCAGTTTGAATAACTCGGCAGCGATCGATTGTGTTACCCAAGTGTGTGCGATGGCCAGTAAGAAGCAATGCATTGACCCTAACAAGGCAATAAACTGGCATAATTCAGGAGAATTGACGGACTTGTATAGTCGAGAAGGATTGAAGTTGCCGCTCTAACCTGTTGCAGAAAAGCGCTAAATAGCACACACATTGTCAGAGATGATCAACGACAAAAATTGATCGTTGTAGCCACTATTTTGTCTTGGTGGTGTGATAGTACGATGCGCTCATAGCGAGTGATCTATATTCTCTCACATACAATGTCTTCTGCTCACGAAGTGACCTTGGTAAGGATGTCGAGTTTTTTAACCTTGCTTACACTCAGGCTTACACCCATATAATACCAATCTGAGTGTTCGAGAGTATGCAACGCCAAATCTAGTTTTTTGTGTGTGCGTGTGCGCGGGGATGGGGTATGTTTTGTCTAAGAAATAAACACACATGTGTAGGAGATATCCCGGGCTTAAGATAAGCAACCGGAGTTAAAAAGCGAAATTCCAGGTAACACAGTTGAGTGCACATCCGCATCTTGTGCCCCTCAGTGTACCAACTCCAGGAAGTGCTGATGAGAGTATAGCGACGCTCGATAGCCTAGATCTACTCTCCTTTGATCGAGCTTCTTGTTCCCGAGGCCCGCAATAGAAGTTCAACCGGACCCCTCGTAGTTTGCATGTCGTAACCAAGAAAGCAGATCGCCCTCGACGATTCCATATAGCCACTTGCATGTGACCGATTCATGTGGCTTGCTCAGCAGGTGCTATCCCACAACTTTCTCAAATTCAACAAAACAAAGATCACCCGGCAACACCAGGTTCTCAAACTTCTCGCGAGGAAAGGCGGTCGTTTCGCCCGTCATTTTGTATCCACGACGCGAATACCACGAGATAAGTTGCTGGCGATTCGAAAGGGCGTTTAATCCCAGTGTCGTAACACCCCAAGTTCGTCGACAATAGTCTTCAGCGTATGCCAAGACCTGTCGTCCAATGCCGCCGCACTGCTGGCTCGTATCAACGGCAAGCATAAAGAGACGAGCTTGGTTTTCGGAGCGCTTGGAAGTCCCGATTGAGCCAACGAGCGTATTTTGATTGTCCGTTGCCATCAACATGACACTGTCCGGTTTTGTGATCATGGCCAAAACCTCTTGGACATCAAGGCGAAAGCTTGATGAGAGACCTAGATCATCTGTCCAGCCTTTCCTGCTGTCCTCGGCGCGGAACGCACATTCCACCAACTGCTGAAGTTGAGCCGCATCGTCTTCGGTCGCGGCACGAAAATTAAGCTCGTTCATTTTTGGCTGTAGAGACGTTCAGGAATTTCAAAATTTGCGAGACCTGCATTCATGGATTCTGCCAGAGAAATGTTGGTATCTAAATATCTTTGCGAACGTGGTAGTCCGTTAGTCCGAAATCAAGCCATGTAGCAATAAGGGCGTGAGGTTGCCTAAAAATCCCGCACAGGGCGTAGAATCTGCGGGATGTTGTGCTTCTCTTCCAAAGCCGATAACGAAACTATATATTTCAAGATGGATGAAGTGGTGAGAATCCAATCAAAGAGACCACAGTCTAAAAGAACAAAACACGCTCCCGTCAGCGGCGCATGGTCGGAAGTTTGACTCAGTGCCGGAGCCCGATCGAGTAGGCCCTCCCATGTTCTCCTGGTGTATAATGATAGAACATAAGATGCCGGAGAATTCTAAACGGTATTTACATGGACGTAGAAGGATGCATTGGAGCTTGACCTCGTCCAGCTTGGTAATATGGATGACGTCACCTATCCTGGCGTCAGGGACATTCAGACGCTTGGACCACATCCCCTTGTTTCTCTCAAGACAAGTGAGTGCCTGCCAACCCATCACAAACATCTACCATGACCACTGCAGCGGTATTCGGCTGCACAGGAGCAGTTGGCTCTCAGATCCTGGCTACACTCCTCGCGTCAGACGCATTTTCAACAGTGAAAACTATCTCCAGGAGACTGCCAAATGCACGGTCAGCTAAGCTCGAAGCACTCGAGGAAAGCGATACCTCAAAATGGGGAGGCATGATCTCATCTCTGTCCCCCAAGCCATCAATGGTCTTCAACGCGGTCGGTACTACAAAAGCGACAGCGGGCAGCGTCAAGAATCAGTGGAAGATCGATCATGATCTATGCGTTGAGAACGCGCGAGCAGCTAAGGAAGCAGGCGTCAAGACGTACATTTATATTTCTAGTGGAGGCACTCGAAGCTTCCTATGGGGCTGGGTTCCATACTCGAAGATGAAGGTTGGTGTCGAGGATGCTATCAAGGCGCTTGGCTTTGACAATGCTATCATCCTGAGACCGGGGATGATTATCGGAAGGGATGAATCCAAGTCTTTTCTTTTGGAAAAGTTTGTGGAAAGCCTTCAGAGGCTGGGACAGGGTGTCCAGGACAAAGTTGGTATGGCTGTGCTGATCAATACTTGAATGCTTGCAAATATCCAGAGCTAACTGGGCGCGAGCAGGTCAAAATCAAACGACTATTGGTAGAGCGGCTGTATCAGCTGCTCGTATAGCTGATGAGGGCAAAGCCCCGTCGAACTATTGGGTTCTGGAACAGGCTGATATTGTTAGGCTTGGTAGAGATGAGTGGAAGGAGTAAGGCGTGGTAGAGTGCCAGACTCTGGGTACAGTGCTTCTTTCTGATGTAGGAATTATCCATGTGTAAAGAGGGATGTAATAAGATAAATACCGAATGATAAATGGTAAACATAATCTATTTATGTACATCAAGCACTAGCCAAGAAAAGAACGTTGGCATGGTACCAGTCATCATCAACAAGCAAAAACAAATATGACAGATAAGAGGATATATTAGAGAATAATAAAGGAGAAGAGAAAGACCGAAGTCTGAAAGAGCCAATGACGCCGGGTTGGCGACGTCGACGTCAGCCCCGAGAGGGCGAAGCCGAGAAAGCCCGAGCAGTCGGAGATTCCCATGCTGAGGAGCTAGGGAAGGACCCGGGCGAGACTGCATGTTTTCTATTATGAAAACAGTTGACGATCATGCCCGATGAACAAACCATGCGGGGGATTCTGGAGGGTTGACGGCAGGCGTGGATTTGCACGTATGCGTACTGAAACCAATTCCTCGGTGGCCGCAATCAAGAGATCTTGAGATCATCGACATAACCGAGGAGTTCCCTCTGATCATCGCAAATGCGGGCATACTCCAACAGAAGTCGGTATGTGTAGATTTCCATGTCCTCCCTTCGGAGGACCTTCTCACCCCAAGCTTTCCCAGCGAGGGCAATTTTACGGGCTGCCTTGTCACGGCCGCCGAGGAAATAAGCCAAAATCCCATAAACGTCAATGTAGGTGGTATCCATGGGAACGAAGTGCACCCAAGGGATCAGTCTCGAGTCGTGCCACTCATTGTAGATAGTAGCTTTGATGGGAAGGGAAGTGGACAACATGAATCCGCGGTACCGGCCACTGAAGGAGTTCCCGTCAAGATCGGGCAGATACTTGAAGTTGTACATATCTTTCATTGGCATGCCAGGCGCGACCTCAAAGTATGGGTCGAGATATGGGCAAGTCGGGTCCGTTTCATTATAAGGCGTGCAAACCAGGTGGTTGAAGCCCGTGTTAGTATGCTCTGTGAGAAGCTGTGGGATAAAACCGTCGCTCTTCAACTTGTAATCGGCATAGTTTGGAAGTCTGAAGTTGATACCGTGGCTTTGGTTCTGCTCAGCTTGAGCCACCGACGTCGCGTTCATCATCGACATGAATCGGTGTCGCTGGAAGCCCGTCCAGTTGGGCTCTCGAGCCCGGCCGCCAGTAGCAGCACCTCGCCATACAGCCTTGCTTATTTTCGATTCCCAGGAACCACCATGCTCCTTCTCCCCACCGGAATAATGGTCGTTCTGTGCCCAATACATCGCTGGGGGAAGGAGAATCTCATTGTTCATGGGAAGCTTGGACCCACCGAACAGTGGCATCAGGTTGTGCGAGGTTGAAACGGAGATTGGCTCAAGGAAGGTTCCATGCAAAACCTGCATCTCTGGGCGCACACACGGGTCCTTGGCCAGTGTATAGTTTGATACATAACCGTGGTATGACATTCTCTCAAAATTGTCATATTCCCAAGGGGGAGTACTGAAATCCACCTTGGGCAGGGTGATGTTTCGTGCAGGGCTTCCAGGCGGGCAGCCAACCCGAGCCATCTCCCAGTAACCTCCCTCGCCGGGGACTGCAAACCCAGGATCATAAGGTTCCAGATCTTCCTGATCCCAATCGGCCAGAGACATGTATTCGGAGATAACACCGCTCGGCTCCGTCATAACGCGATTTGCCTGCTCCTTTTGAATGTACTCGTTGATTTCCTCCCAGGGGACAATGAGCCGGGTCTCATCCATGACATTGATTGGCATATCAAGGTCGGGAAGACCGTGTTCCAGTTTTGCGACCAGATCGTACCACGAGTCCATCCAATTTCTCGGCTCATCGGTTTTCAATATCGCGGTTTTGTTCCGAACAGTGATACGGGTCGGGATGCTTA